ACCCACACAACAAACTCCTGTGCAGTCATTAGGAATCTTGCTGTGTCAATTATTTATAGACATGAGAGGAGAAAGTGAAGGCAAATTATCCCACAGCATCAATATATAACTTGAGTCAATTCATCTTGAATACACACTTTTCATGTATACATAGTCACATTTATATACATAGAAGGAAGTCTAGAAGGAATACAGCCAGATGTTCATTACTTATGGTTAGCAGGATTACTAAAGGTCTTTGATTAATGAATTTTATGTTTGATTATTTATATTTCTGAGTTTTTATATAATGAATATGTAATGCTAGCAATAGCTGCCTACATGAAGGTACATGAAGCAAATCATATGTATTTCATTTAATCCTTACAATGATCATGATGGGGTGTTGGTAAACCCATTTTAAAGATGGGGAAACTGAGGCTCAGGATAAGTCATATCCTTTATGAGTTTCCTTTGCAGTTGTGACAAAATTATCACATATTTATTGGCTTACAACCACACAGATTTATTATCTTAATGTTCTGGAAGCCATAAGTTTGAAGTGGGTTTCACTGGGCTCAATTCAAGATGTCAGTAGGGCTGTGTTCATTCTGGAGACCCTGGAGAATCTGTGACTTGGCTTTTTCCAGTTTTTAGAGGTTGCTTGCATTCCTTGGGCTATTGCCCTTTGCTTTATCATCAGTTAGCAGTGGCTGGTAAGGTGCTTCTTACATTGTTTCACTCTGGTTCTGACAGTTATGCCTTCAGAACCATTGATTACATTGGACCCATCCAAATAATCCAGGATAATTTCTTGATTTTTAAGATCAATTGCTTAGCAATCTTAACTCCACCTATAACCTTAATTTGCCTTTGCCAGTTAATGTAATATGTTCACAGATTCTGGAGACTAGGGTGTGGATATCTTTGAGAGGTGATTCTTCTGCCTACAACCCTCACCCTAGGTTTCATAGGTAGTAGGTGATAGATCTGGATATATTTGAACTCATTCTGACTCTCATATCCAAGCTCTTATACCATGCTATGTGGATGATCTTTTGTGTACTGAAAACATTTAAAAATCTCTTATATGTTAAAAAACAAAATTCCTTTCCTGTTCTTTGGCCTTATTCAGCCTTATTGCTATGTCATCCATCTGTCCCATTCTAGCAAAACTGGTCTAGTCACTGACCCACAGTACCCTAAAGCCCCAAGCTTGTGTCCTGATAGTGTCTCTAATCTTGGGAGTGCCATTCTTGATGGGATCATCACTCTGAGAAACTGATTACAAGATGGAAAAAATTGTTCAAGGAATTTATTAGGGAAAATGATGTGACAGAAAATGGGAGGGAAGGAATGGGGACAGAGGTAGTGAATGCTATCTGACCCCAAGTGCAGGAGAGAGGGAAGGAAGCACCTTAGTCTTGATGTAGTTGAAGGAAGCAGGCCAGCCCACCCTGACTACAGAGGGACTCTGAGCCTCCCAGGACCTGGTCTGCCTTAATATCCCTGCAGAGCATCTGTGGCTGTGGACAGCTTGCCAAGTTATGGCCTTGGCCTAACAGCAGCTGGGACCCTGGTCAATTTTACTACTCACTATTAGAGGTCTGAGAGGCTCATTCTTGTGGGGACACTGTGTAACACCTTAGTTAGGGGAAAGCTCTTTAAAGGGTAGAGACCATGCCTGTCCCCCCCTCGTCACAGTACTCCTGGTTAGAGTGTGTTAGATGCACATGCATCTGGCCATCCTGCCTTGACATAAGCCTCAGTTTATCTATCTACTAAAGGAGGATAATGGCAGTAGCTCCCTTGTGGGGTTGGGGTAAGGATGAAATGAGACAGCTAGTGTCAAGACCTTTGCTCAGGGTCTAGCAAGTGGCAGTAGTTGAAGGTCAGTAAGCCAGGGGCCTCATCATTGTAGCATGCTGACATGCACATAGTAGGTGCTCAATAAATGGCTATGGTTGTCATTGGAGCACACATATAGTAGGTACTTGGTAAATGGTATGGTCATCATTGTGAGACAGGGCAAGCTAGGGTTATTAGGCAGTTTTAGGGACAGTGCAGGAGGGGACCTCTGAAGAATTTAGGGAGGCTTCAGAGATAAGGACAACCAAAGAAATATAACCAATTCCATTAGGAAAAACAAACATGCCAGGACCAAGGACAACACTGTTAATGCTGGTCCTGGTTTCCTTCAGGTGGTAAAGGGAGGCGGAGATTGGAGAAATGGAGAGTGGTTTAATTTATGGTCACATTAGAAGGGCAGCTGTTTAACTTCAATGCAGGGATGCCCATCCAGAAGACTGGGCCATAAAAATAAAGATACAACAAATGGGGAAAGACAGACCTACTAAATAAGGAATGTGAAGATCCCCACTCAGTAGCAAATTAAGTGAGACAGCCGAAAACTGACCAATCACAAAGAGACTGGGGCAGCTTTAGAATAATGAGGGAAAAAAGGTATATATTCCCTGAAACACAATTCCCCTTTGGCTTCCTTGCCCCTCCCAGGCCTGGTTCCCTGGCCTGGGAGTCCCACTTTATTTCTGTTCTTTTTCTCCTCAATAAACTTTTTCTTTTTCTAAACAAACTGCCTCTTCTCGCTTGCTTGCCTGAGCGTCTGCGAAGTTCCTGCTGCGGCTTCGTGAGACACCAACCCTGGGGGGTCTAGTGGCTGGGACTCAGCGCTGCCCTGCAGCCTGGGATCCGTTCCTGGCTGGGAGACTAGACCTGACAATTCCGGTATCAATTGGAATGTGCTGCCTGCATATGGCATGCACTCATTTACTAATTCACTAATCACAGTGGTCATTACTGGAGCATACTGACCTGTACAGTAGGCACCCAGTAAATATAGTTTGGTGAATTCCAATCATTGTTTCAGTGGAAGTGGTTCTAGTTCTCTCTTCTTGGTGGAGAGAGAAGCCCAGGGTGATAGGGACAGAGAAAAGGGGCAGATCCAGGTTATTCCATGAGCCTCCACTACCTGATCCATAAAATATGGAGAATAACACCACCTTCCCAGGAGCTAAAGCAAAGTAAGCACTTGCACCCAATAAGCACTCCGTGAAGTCACCCCCACCTCCTAAACTTCCATTGAGCATCTGTGTTTTGTCCCATTCATCTAAGTCATGAACATGGACAGGAACATAGGCTCGAAGAAGAGAAAACTGGAGGTGGTGGTCAAGGAGAGTAATACCAGAGTCATTACTGTCAGGGTGGACAGAGAAGTGCCTGTTGGAGGGGCATTAAGGAGATACAATTTATAGGTCTGGGGATTGTTTACTTGTTAGGGTAGGGAAAAGGCAAGAATGGTAGCCAGGAGCAGAGATACCTGGAATTTCTTTCTACCTTTCCCAATAGGCTTTGTACCCGCCACCTGTCTCCTTACTGCATCATACCTGCCCCAGGCTGCAGGTTGTTTTTCCTGAGGTCATGCAGGGAGTTAGCTGTAGAACCCATTCAGGTTGCCCTCTGCTGCTCGAGGGCAACCTGGGCCTGACATTTATCACTGCTTGGAATTTAAAATTTGTCATTTTATTACTGTCTCTGCTGCTAAACGGTAAGCTCTTTGGGGGCAGGGAATGTGTCTGCTTTTGCTATAAGTTTCTCCAAATGCAGTTTGAGAACAAATGAAGAAAAGAACCAACAACCTTATCAGATCTTGGGGATTGAAGGCTTTGCTTCCAATCTGGACCTAACAAGACAGGAAGTACATATTCTTTGGCCTAACAAGTCCTTGCCTAATAAAACTTTCCTGGAACTTTCTACCAAGTATTTAAATATATAAGGATGTTCATTTCGGTGATATTTGTGAAAGGAAAAAACAACAAAATAGCCTAAATGTCCAACATCAAGAGGTTTGTTGGAATAATTGTGGTAGAGCTAAAGTAGAACAAGCCATTAGAACAGTGAAGATCTATTTTTGATATGGATATTTTATAGTGGTAGTTTAATTTTTCCCTTACTTTTCCTTTTGTGAATAGACAGAACAAAATTATCTATACTCATAGTTTTAACATTGGAAAGATATACCCCAAATTGTTACTGATGTTTACATCCATAGTGAAATAGAAAAAAAAATCCTATTTTACTTCTTTGAGTTATTTTTTTCTGAACTTTTTATAATGCACTTGTATTAATTCCTAATAAGAAATAAAAACAGTAGAGAAGTTGCCCCCCCACTTCCCCCCAGGGGATGTGAGGCTGGGTCCACAATGGGGTTAAAAGGTTAAGATAAGGGCTATTAAATAATGCTTACTCTATTTAGCAAAAGAAAAAAGCATTTGGTGACCACAGTGAGAGCAGTTTTGCTAGAGGGGCCCCACTTGTCAGCAAAATAGGAATAATAATTATGGTTAAAAAAAAGTCATTTCCCAGAAATCCTGTGGGGACCAAGTAGAGGGAAGGAGGCAGGCAGATGTGCAAATATATTTACCAGTTGAGAAAAATGTTCAAAAGTTCGATCAGGCCTTCTAACCCGCAGTTCCCAAAAAGCACGCACCAAAATATGAGGAAATGCGGGCAGCGGCTTACTGTAAGAAGTGCAATAGAAAGGCAAGGCCTTGCCACATCTGAATTTAAAAGTGGGGCAAAGAATCATGCAAAAAGGAAAAAAAATATCAAGGGCGGCTCAATTGCATTTCTTGAAATGATGGCCCTGCACATCATGCCAGTTCCTGCACATCATGCCAGTAACTCCACAGCCAAGGCGAGCGCAAAAAAAAAAAACAACAAAAAACAAAACACAAAGATTAATGCTTTGACCCTGGAGTGCAGGATGCCCCGCGCTACAGCACGTTCGACCAATCGGGGAGTAGCGCGGAGCGCGGCCCGCCAGTGACCGGGGGCGGGGCGGGGCGCATGGCGAGGCTGGGGGCGGGTGCCTGGCGAGGCTGGGGCGCGCGGGGCGGGGCGGGGCGCACGGCGAGGCTGGGGGGCGGGCGCCTGGCGAGGCTGGGGCGCGTGCGCGTCGCGACCGCCGTGCCAGTGCCGCCTCCGACCGGTTATAAGACCCGAGTCCCGGAGCCAGAGTCGGGCCTGCGCCGAGTCCTCCAGCCGCCCGCCCCGCCCCGCGCGCCCCGCGATGCCGGTGGACCTCAGCAAGTGGACCGGGCCCCTGTGCCTGCAGGAGGTGGACGAGCGGCCGCAGCATTCGCTGCAGGTCAAATACGCCGGCGCGGAGATCAGCGAGCTGGGCACGGTGCTGACGCCCACCCAGGTAGCCGAGGCGGGTGCAGAGGCCCGAGGCGGGAGGCCTGCAGGCCGTGGGGCCGCCGTCCCTGCGCGCTCCGGCCGGTCCCCCAGGGCGAGGGGTCGTGCGCCCTCGGCGCCGCCGGCCTGCAGACTCCCGACCCCGGCACGTGGAGGGCGGGCCTCGGTCTACCCCAGAAGCGGATCCACTTCCCCGGACCTCAGGGCGCACGCAGGGCCTGGGCCGGGAAACTGCCGGTCCCCTGGGGCCGGGCCGGGGATAGGGCCAGCCTGGGAAGGAGTAGGCCGTGGCCACCCCGCGTGCCCAGAGCCGCCCTCCCGGACTCAGGATTTTAGGCGTCACTTTGGGGATCAAAAGCTCTGCCGAGGGCATATGACATATTATGTAACTGGTGCTCGGCGGTGCCCAGAATTTCTCCTTTGTCGTAGAGGTGGAGAGCGGGAAGCCCGCAAGGGTAATGACGGGCGTTCGGCGGCAGAAGTCTTGCTGGCAACCGCCTTCTTTTACCGTTTGGCCCCCGAGGCCTGTGGCTCCGCCGGGCCTGGCTCCTCGGTGCCTAAAGCGAAACTCCTGGGGAGCCCGATGACGCCATTGCAAGTGGGCGGTGAGGCAACGTTGTGCATAAATTGCTGTGATATTCATTGTTTTGGATGTTTGAATATAAAGCGCCCGTCTTCCAAGCTTGTTTTCCTGGGGTCCACTGACCACCTTGGCTTTCTCATTTTCTGTGCAGTTTTAAATGTCCCCGTTAATTCAGATTTCACCTTAGCACGTTCCAGGCCATTTCTTCGTCACCAGATCTAGAGACCTCGTCATTCTGGACATTGTAAGCTTAGAATTGAGATGAGGTAGCACCAGGCTTGAAATCCTGACCTACAGCTGTTACTGTTAATAACTTGCTAGGATGCTAGCCCTATGGTGTTGCTAGGGCTAAAATAAATAAAGTATATTAAATATTAAACATCAGCTCCTGGCTCCTAGTTAAGTCCATATGCTTTATTAATAATACACTGTTGTTAATAATCTGCTCTTGTTTTACCTTTGAGGAATCTGAGATCAAAGAAAAGACAGTTGGTTTTCTCGGTATTTTTGACATTTTAACTCCAGGTTGGTTTCTTCCTACAGGTTAAGAACCGGCCCACCAGCATTGCTTGGGATGGCGCTGATCCAGGTAAACTCTACACCTTGGCCATGACAGACCCGGATGCTCCTAGCAGGAAGGACCCTAAATACAGGTCAGTTGGGGGGAGATGGGGAAGTGCAGGTTGTCCAAATATGACCTGATGCCTCTTGTAAGCACCTGACTGGACATGCTGTGCTAGGAGCCGATCTGGTTCAGAGTGTTCACAGCCATGCTGAAGCCAGAATGTGCTCTGTGGCCCCTGCAGCCTAGATCAGGAGTCTAGAAGCAGTACTCAGAGCCAGATCTGCCCCCGGTTTATTAGTGTCCCAAGAGCTAAGAATAGGTTTTTTTTTTTTACTATTCTTAAATGATTGGGGGGAAATTTAAAAAATATTTTGTGACATGTAAAAATTACATGGAATTCATATTTTAGTGTCCATAAAAATAAAGTTTTATTGGAACATAGCCATGATAAAATGTCTCATCTGTGGCTGTTTTCTTGCTATAGCAGCAGAGTTGAGTATTTGAGACAGTAGGACCTGCAAAACCCAGAACATTTACTCGCTGGCCCTTTACAGACAAAGTTTGCTGACTCCTCCCGCTAAGCTCTCAGAGGGAGAGAGGGGCCGGGTTCTCTATTCTGCAGATAGAGGTTTGTGCTGGCCACGAAGGCTGGACTTCTCATCTTGTCCATCACTGTGTCCTGGAATGGAGCATGTGCTCCATGCACACTTGCTGGCTGTGCAGTGGGGGCTGCTATTTTGCTGTGGTACTGATGGTCCTTGTTCCTCCATGCAGGGAATGGCACCATTTCCTGGTGGTCAACATGAAAGGCAATGATATCAGCAGTGGCACAGTTCTCTCTGACTATGTGGGCTCCGGGCCTCCCAAGGGCACAGGTCAGTAGAGGCTGCTTTTGGGGAAGGTGGAATGGGCACCTGGATGCATATTTAGGATTGGTCTAAAGCACTGCACATTTTAGTCTGTTTTCCTAGAGCTTTAGTCTTTTATACTGATGAGTGTCCTTATCCAAGTGCAGAGTTCAGGCAGCTCAGTTCACCTCTAAGCAAGTTGTCTGCCAGTCAGATGCCAGCACCTTGGGTTCTGGTGAGATGGGCCCTATTAGAATTGCCCATCAGCTTCTAGGTCTTTGTGAGCAGGAAGTTGGTAAGACGATACCAAGGAGGCAACATTGCAGAATGTTTGGGGAACAGCTTTCTAGGGTTGCTGCCTGTGGGCTGAACAAGTTCGACAGTCAGTCTTTGCCATGTGTCATCTTTGAGTTTCTAGTTCTGATGTAGAATCTCACAAATGATCATAGTTTCCAAATGAATTATTAAAAATTAAAAATAGGCTTCTTTATAGTTCCAACCTCTTTCTCTCGAAAATCTAGTGTGGTATCTTGAAAAGATTTGGAAGACTTCAAAACTATTTGAAGATTTATGCATACACATTGTATTATGGTAATGTTCTATTATAAAGAGAGAGAGAGAATATTACACTGAAATGCTCCACGTTGGATAAATGCTGTGTAAGTGAATGGTGGGAGATGAGGTGCTGGAACGCAGAAGTTATGTTGAATGGAGCATGGCAGGATGGTAGCTTTTGTAGACATTGTCCAGCCATGAGTCACTCTGAAAAGGGACAAGAGGGCCTCCCTGGTGGCACAGCGGGTTGAGCACAGAGCTGTGAAGCTGTCCGCAGCCTCTGCAGCACCAGTTCAGTTCCCAGCTGGCCAGGGAGAGTCCCACATGGTGCAGCAGACCTCTCCTATCTCGCCCGCTGCTCCCCTCAGCAGTGCACTTCTGTCAGTCTGCCTGTTCTGTTCCCCTCTCTGGTGAATCCTCTCACCCTCCCGCACCTCTGATCTGTACCCCAGTTCATGTATAAATAAATAAATCTTTAAAAAAAAGAAGTTAAAAAAAAATAAAAAGGGACAAGAAGTTCCCTGAATGGAAAGTTGGCCATGGGCCCATGTTTTATCTGTAGGCCCAGAAGCTTCAGCTGAAGTCAAGGCCTCTGATGCACTCATAAGAGGAAAATAAAGGTACATCTTTCCCAGGGATCTAATCAGTACTCTGGGGCAGTCATAAAATTAGGCAATTTAATTATGGGAAGTGCACACCTGAGAATAAAGCAGATCTCTCTAGTAACTGTGTGTGCTCATTAACAAAAAAGCTTCTGTGACTCTCTTTTTCTCCCTTTTGCTTTTTGTTTCACATGTACTTTTTCTTGTTTTCATTTTTCCCAAAGTTCTCATGAGACCTTTGAGCTAATCATTTTCTGACTCCTTTTTCCATAGATTGCTTTTGCTCTTCTTGTATTTATCTACATGGCACCATGCAGTATGCATTTGCTTTTGGTGACTCTTTGTCACTGAACTGCTGTTTGTATCAGCAGTTCATTCCTTTTTCATTGCTGAGTGTTATTCCATTTTGAGAATATACCGCAATGTGGAGAGCCATTCTCCTAGACATTTGGGTTGTTCCCAATGTATGAGTATTATAAATAGAACTGTTAGATTCATTTGTGTCATTTTGTGGGCATGTGTTTCCATTTCTCTTGGATAAATACCTAGGAGTAGAATTGTTGGGTCATAGAAATTGCCTAAGAGTTCTCCAACAAGGTTAAAAAAAATTTTTTTTAAAGATTTATCTATTTATACATATAAGAGCTGGGGTACAGGCCAGAGGTGTGGGGGTGAGAGGATTCACCAGAGACAGAGAGGGGAATAGAACAGGCAGACTGACGAAAAGTGCACTGCTGAGGGGAACAGCAGGCCAGTCAGGAGAGGTCTGCTGCGCCATATGGGTTGCTTCCTGGCCGGGGATCGAACTCATGCTGCAGAGACTGCAGACAGCTCATAGGTTGCGTCTTAACCCGTTGCACCACCGGGGAGGCCCCATGGTTAAAAATCTTTATACTCCAATCAGCCATTTATCAAAGTAGAGCCATATAAGATCCATGTAGACCCATACCATGACTCATCATTATTGTAGCATGTCGCAAGATTTCCTTTTTTAAGGCTGAATGATATTCCATTGGTGTATATACTACATTGTTTTTCCATTCCTCTCTTCACCTCTTGGCTATTGTGAATAATGCCACAATAAATATGTATGCACAAAAAAATAAAATATGATGGAAAAATAGCTTAAAAAAAAGTTCATGGCATCTTTTTGTGTCCAGTACTTAACTGGTGTTTGTAAAAATCTGCAGTTGATAGGGCACTTGCTGGCTGGTTGGAAAATATTCTTTGCTACTTAGTTGGTTAAAGAGAGTTTGAGTCATTTCTTTGAAAGCTTGTCTTCTTAAGGAAGGAGGCTTTGGAGATAAAAAAAATAATGTTGTCATTTAGTCTGTTAAGCTTGATTGTGGTATGATGAGCCCCTAGTTAGTGATTTGCTTTGTCTTTACCCATTTCTCATATATTTTTGTCACTTACGCTCCAGGTGCTTGGGTAGGTTCTGGGGTAAAAGTGGTCCACAGGACAAGCGCCACACAGCTTTGTGGAATTCTACTGAGATTTCTAGCGAGGAGATTAAAATGTTAGAATTTTAGGTAATAGTTTTACTGTGACAGAGTAAATGGGCATTCTGACAGGAGTGATGGAAAATGGCAACAGGGTCCTATTGAAGTTGGACTGAAATTCTGGAGTGGGAAGCATTAGCAGTGATCCACAGGAGGGGTGGGCAGGGCAGGCCCTCTGGCTTCCAAGATGCCCTTTGCACGGTGTGGACTTCATGCTAATCGCAGTGGAGAGCCAGTGGATGGTTTCCAAGCTGTGAGGGAACTGACTCATTCTTCCTGTCTTGGTCATCCCCAGGGTGCCTCTTGTAAAAGGGGTGGTCTGGTCCCTGCAAGGTCACCTTCTATGAAAACGGGTGATGTGTCCATTTCAGATGCCTAGCCATGTGTACACCTTGCCTCTTGCTTCTCCCTTCAGGCCTTCACAGATACGTCTGGCTGGTTTATGCCCAGGATGGGCCGCTGAAGTGTGACGAGCCAATTCTCAGCAATAGATCTGGAGACCATCGTGGCAATTTTAAGGTGGCATCTTTCCGCAAGAAGTACAAGCTGGGGTCCCCGATAGCCGGTACATGTTACCAAGCTGAATGGGATGACTATGTCCCCAAACTCTATGAGCAGCTGTCTGGGAAGTAGGAGGATGTTAGGAGAATGGAAACAGCCCCTGAAGCCCCAGTGTTCTCGAGTTCAGTGATGCATGTAGATTTCTCCTCTTCCCTGTCCCCATTCTACATAACAGGCAGACCTGAGCAATCAGATAGTGGTTTAGAGTGACTACCTTTTGCTTACCTTTTATAATTCTAGAGCATCATTCACCAGATTTATGTTTTGATCAAACTTAAACTCCATTTTGGGGACTATTTCGTAACTGATGGGGGTCATTAAATTGTTACCGTAAGAATAGCAACCCGAATGTAAAGAAAATTCAGCAGCGCTAGAGTAATAATGGAGCAAAACATCAAATAATTCTCTAAAGGAGGTTAGAAAAACAAAAAGATTCCTTGCCTCTGCCCTTGCGAGTCCAAGTCCAGGACGGTGTGTGATGACACAGACGTGTTTTCATGGCCCTCTCTCTCCTGAAGACAACCAGCAGCCGCCATGTCTGCTAACAGTCAGCATGCTACATCTCAGGTTGGTTACTAGGTGTCAGCATCCCCGTGTGCTTCTTAAAGGAGCAGTACTGGAAAAGCAATGGGGAGAGTGGCTTTGACATTGGCTAGATGAGCTGTGGGGCTGGGTGAGACGTTATCAGAAGTCCCTCAGTCCATGCCTGTTAAACTGATCACTGTTTATTGGTCTAAAAAGCCAGTCGGGGGTTGCTGGATGTTGTGTTAATTCTGCTATTTGCTTATAGTTGAATAAAAATAAAAATATGTGGATGAAACAGGCCTCTAGAAACTTTGCTAATTTGGGCATAGGGTTTCATCATGGTGGGAAGTCATCACTGGCAGTAAAGATTGGGATTGAATCAGGAGCCCCACAAAAGGTCCATGCTTATACATATGTCATTAAACTACAGCAGGGGCAACCATTCAGACCCTTGCCCCAAAACACTATTGCTTTTTTTGGTAAGTGGTCCTTTTTCACCTGAGAATAGAGCTGGTTGAACACCTTCCTCATGGTATAGTTGTGCAAAGATACTACAACAATGGCTAAGAAGTAGCTCAGGCCTCTCGGCCTTTCTTTGTCCTATTCATATGAACCGGTATAAAAAGAGGGGAGTCACTCTCATGCTGATGTACCAGAAGAAAGGGGAAGAGGGTTCTGAAGGTTCAGAATCACTCACCTGGTCTGCACTGAAGAAGAAATGCTGAATTAGGCCTGTGCATGCTAAACCAGGCTGGCCTCTCCCCACTTTTTGCAGCAATACTTTCTTCTCTGACATGTTGCTACGTGTAATCTCTAGGGGCGGTTAAGGTAAAGAGTAATTTTTTTTTTTTAAGATTTATTTATTTATACATGCATGCATGTATACATACATACATGCATGCATGCATGCATGCATACATACATACATACAAGCACTGGGTACAGTCAGAAGCGCGGGAGGGTGAGAGAATTCACCAGAGCCAGAGCGGGGAGCAGAGCAGGCAGAAGGACCGAAGTACACTGCTGAGGGGAGCAGCGGGCGGTAGGAGAGGTCTGCGCGCCATGTGGGACCCTCCTCCAGTGGCCGGGGAGCAGTCAGGGATCGAACCGGTGCTGCAGAGGCTGCGGGCAGCTTCACAACCCAGCGCTCAACCGCTGCGCCACCCGGGAGGCCCAAGAGTAAATTTTTTTTTTAACTTTGAAATTCATTTAAAAATAATATTTTGTAAAATGAAAGCTATGAAGAAAACATTTACCCTTTGGCCTTAAAAAAATAATGTGAAGTGACACACATGCTTGGTTAGACAAGTTAACCAGAATAGGAAGAAAATCCTTTCACCTTCCTGGCTCTTTAGCAGATGTCAATTTTCTTGAGTTTTTTTTTTTTGGGGAAAATGTAAACATCCAAATCAGCATATATCTATATATTTATTTAAAAATTACAGTCTTTTTATATATGCTGGTATATGTTGTCTACTCTTTTTTCCCAGCGGATGCATCTACATGCAATAAATCTGCAGTTAAAAGTTCACCATAAATCAAGTTATTTTGAACAAATACTCAATTTTATGGATGTTCCACAAATAACACGTCTAGTCCCCAGCTGTGATTAGATTATTTCTGGTTATTTGCTATTATTGAACTGCTTCAGCCAACATTTTTCCCTATGTATAAAATGCTTTTGCAAGTAATTTAAATGGCTAAATTCCTAGCATTGAAATAATCAATTTTCAATACATTTTCAATTTTTTAAAACAAAAGTTGTTTGTCTGGATTCCTAGTTTTATATATTATGTATATGTATATATATTTTATATATATATATCATATACAATATTTATTGTATCATTTTTTTATTGGGCAACACATTTTCTATTCTGATACTGACAAGTCACCTTCCCAGAAACTTTACACTGATATTCTTGTCAATGATATAAAATTTCCTGTTTACAAAAAAAAATCAAGAAATGAAAAAAAATCGTCTTTTTCCTTCTCCTTATAAGTATTCTCATGCTTTAAACATACTGACAATTTGTTGTTTATGTATTCAAAATAATTTACTCTTTCTATAAATTTGTTTTTCTTGAGATTTTTACCTTGTTAGCCACTACTTTTTTAGTTACAGTCTGAAGATTAATGAAGAATTATTAGTTTCCTTGCCTAAAATGAGTATAAACTCAGATAATTCAGAAAAAGGTCAACAGCCCAACCCAAAGAGGTGAAGGAATGCATAAGAAAAGAGTGATTCGTAATTTTAGAAATAAGGGGACGCCTTGTTTCACCTGTTAAACTGGAAGGACGACACGAACCTGCCCAGGTAAGACATGGATGATCCTGGTTCTGACCCAGCTCGCTGGCCTCCGAGCTCAGGTCATTACCACCGTGCTCACTTGCACACTAATTCCATGGAACTGGTTGTGTGTGTGTGTGTGTTGGACCATCAATCTCTCTTACCTCACAACAAAGAGCAAAATGATCTTTTGTTGATCAGGTGAATTAACATGTGTAAATGATTAACTTGACCTCATTATATAGGAACAATGTCTACAAACAGCCTGATTCCTTCCAGGCTGTTTCCTGGCTACACTTCTACAAGTGCACCTCTAAATGTTTAGGGTGAAGAAACACGAGTTTCTACTCATCACACTGCAGCTTCAGTAGCCCCGTGGGAGCCCAGTATTTATTTCTAACAGCCCTGGAACCTTGGAACTGCTCATTATTCTGATCTCATGGCAGAACATACATCAAACGAACATGGCCACTGCTCTGGAAGCATAAGATCAAATCCTGATTAACAGACGAGACCAGATCTCAGAAGATGGGGTTGGTATCCCTCTAATGCTTAAACATGATAGTAAGTTATATCCTCTTTTGGGTCAGGAGCAAAATTTAACAGCTTTGGTGTCTACTTAAAGCCTTTGCGGTTGCTCTGGGATGTAGACAAACATGGCCTATCAGACCCTAAATGATCTTACCCCCATTTGCTTCTACCTTCTTGCCATATGTCGTCTCATTAAACTTCAAAGCTACTGGCTGCCTCCCAGTTCCTGGAACATGGTGGGCTCTTCCAGATATAATTCTTCCCAAATGCTGCCTGGAATCTTCTGCTTCCCACTTTCTTTGACAACATTCCATTTGCCCCTAAAGTATCCCTTTGCTGACCTTCAGGGAATCCTTCCCTGACTAGATTCTCTTATTGCAACATTACAATTGTAATTTTAAAATATGCTTGTTTGTGTAATTTTAAAAAATTCGATGCTTATCTCTATTAGATTAGACCCTTCATGGGGACAAGGACAACAAAAGCCTTGCTCAATTTTGCCAGCATCTGACATATGTTTAGTACATACTAACATCTCAATGACATTAGCCGAATGAATAGCTGTTGAGGGGTTCTTAAGTTTAGGAAGCATGGACATGCCATACTGGTAAAGTTTTTTCTTTCTGTGTAAATGTATACTTTTACAGAAATTTACACAACTGAGTTACCAGAGCTCTCTCTCCAGCCCATTCAGCAGTACCCTACTTCAGATGATCACGACCACCAGAATACAGATCTCCATTTATTTCTTATCTTAATATTTTTTATCCTGTGCTTGATGTAACTGTACTTAGTCCTTGAGGAAGCCCAAAATTTCCAGTAGTCTTAAGGGATATTTCTGGAAATTTTAGGGCCATCTCTAGGATTCTACCTTGACAAACTCCCCATTGAAACCTGTTAAGTAGAATATTTTTTCAAACTTATTGAAGTATAATTGAAGTGTACTATGATGCACATATTTTGGCATATCATTCAATTTATCATTTTTATACACTACAAAACTAGGTCTACAATCAAGGTAAACAATTCCACCACTTACAAATTTCCTTTTTTTTTTTTTTTTAAAAATTTATTTATTTATGCAAGCACTGGGTACAGTCAGAAGCGCGGGAGGGTGAGAGAATTCCTCAGAGCCAGAGCGGGGAGCAGAATAGGCAGAAGGACCGAAAAGTACACTGCTGAGGGGAGCAGCGGGCGGCAGCAGAGGCCTGTGTGCCATGTGGGACCCTCCTCTGGTGACCAGGGAGCAATCGGGGATCGAACCGGCGCTGCAGAAGCTGCGGGCAGCTTCGCAACCCAGCGCTCAACTGCTGCACCACTGGGGAGACCCACAAATTTCCTTCTTTTATAATTCCTCCCTCCTATCCCTTGCTCTAGTTGACTACTGATTTCTAATATAATCATTTAAAAACATTTAAGGCTTAAGGTTTCTTTCTAAGGATGACTTTATATGTATCTCACAAATTAAATATGCTGTTTCTGTCATTCAGTTCAAAGTTTAAAATATTTTTTCATGTGAGTTTATTTTGACTTATATCTTACTTTGAAGTGTGTTGCTTAGTTTCCAGATATTTTATTCCTATTTTATTGTAATTAACTTTTAAAAAATTCTTTGGTGTATGCATGTTTTTCAGTTAAAAAAAAAAACCCCACTAAGTCTTGTTTTATGGCTCAGCATATGGACTAGCTTGGTGAATACATCATGTGCATATTTTTTTTTTATTACTTTTCTTTACTGAGGTAACATTGGCTTACAACACTGTATAACTTAGGGGAATAGGTCACACCTTCTCAGACATGTTACCATCCTACTCTACCCCCTAAAAGAATGTTTATTCTCAAGTTTGAGTTCCATAAATGTCAAATCTATTTCTCCTTTAACTATCAATTTTTGACTAATGTATTATGAGGTAGTTATTAGGTATATGTATTTAAGATTATGTCTTCTTGATAAATTATTCCTTTTCTCATTATGAATGTCTTTTTCTCTTTGATGATGCTTTCGTGTTGAGGTCATTTTACTTGCTTTAATAGCTGCTCCAGTTCCTTTTTATGCTTTGTTATTTGTATGACACATTTTATCCCCTCTTCCATGTACTTTCAACTGATCTGTCGTTATATTCTTTCTCTAATAGGCAGCCTATATTGCTTTCTTAAAAATCCACTCTGTTAATTTCTGCCTTTTAACTGGACCATTTAGAGACCCTTAATAGTTAATGTAGTTATTGATATGGTGGGATTTATGTCTACATTTAATTTTTTTGTCCCTTTTTTTAATATCTTTATTTCTGCTTTTAAGGGAAGGGATGATTTGCATATTTTATCCCAATAAAATATTATTATTACTATTGATATTACAATATTACTACTGTCTATTACTAATTTGGCTTTTCTTTTTGTTTTGGTGGTTGCTCTAGGCATTACAATATACATAACAAATTTTTCAGTATGCTTAAAGATTGTATCACTTGATGTAAAATGTGTAAGCATCGTGACCATATGGGTCCTTACCACCAACCTTTGTGATAGTTGTCCTGTGGATTCTGCTTATAAACATTGAAACCAACCCCCCATATAATAAATTTGCTTATATATATAGTGTATATATAATTAAGCAGAATATAAGGAAAAAATCTTTTACATTTATCTAGATATTTACTACTTTTTTCTTTTCCTCCATTATCAGAAATTTAGATTACATTCTAGTATCATTTCCATTCAGTATGAGGAACTTCTTTAAATTTCTAGTAGTCTGCTGGCAATACATTCTTTTAATTTTTTCTTATCTGAGAGTGGTTTTACATCACCTTCATTCCTGTCTGGATTGCTTCTCCATAATCCACCTGCTTTTATTTTTAGTGTCCTCAGCTGCTTTTTCATTTTCTCTAGTTTTTAGTTGTGATCAGTGTGAAAAACTTACACTTCTATGCCAAACTGAAACAATAAAAACATATTTTTTTAATATATGATCATTTCTATGGCATTATATATTTCTAAATTAAAATCAGAGGGGGAAATAGGGAATTCTGATAGGGACATGTTTCCAGTTATCCAAGAATACTTTTTCAGTAAACATACAAGCAAATAATTACAGGTGGCACTAAATTCAAGAAACAGGTTTTTCCTTTAAATTATATTGATTTGCCAGTTATTTATAACTATGTAATTTTGGGAGTACAACTTCACACTGCCACATATGCACACACCTCACCTGCCCTGCATCAAAGCTCCAGTGCCAGTACTCTGGGCCTCCCCTCCCCCATCTCCTCTAATAATCAATATATTTAATAATAATCAATATATTTTTCAGTCTAAGAATTACTTTTGTTTTGTCACTTTGTTTTTTTGGCTATAAATATTCTGTAAACAAGTGAAACCACCACCATTTTTCACTTTCTGACTTCAGGAAATAAATTCTTTACTCAATGGTGACCAACTTAACATCACTGGTTAAGTATTTTCTGATAGTTCCTATCTGAATATCTTCTTGGTCAACCTGTAGCTTGTCTTTTTGACTTGATGGTATCTTTTGAAGAATAAAATTTTAAATTTTGATGAAACTCAATTTTTTTTTTCTCTTAGGGTTCCTACTTTTTCTAAGAAATCTTTGTCTAGTTCAGATTTTCTCCAAAGGGACAATCAATCATGACTAATTGTTTCAGTCCCTTTGAAGTCTCATATTACCCAGCATTTGCATTGCTTTACTCTACCTTTGATTAACCTAGTGTCTTGTTTTGGTGAAGATTTAAACCATGAGCTCTGACAGCAGTTACCCCTTCCGTATTATTTAAGGCATGCTGACCTCAGCCCTCTCATCCCCTTACTCTCTTTTTTCTCAGTAGCAATTATTACCCATTAAAGATCATTTATTTGTCTTCTCATTTTCCTCTTACCCGTAATGTTCCATTAGAGCAAGGACCTTTACTTCTTTGAGATACATTGATTAAGCATCTGTCATGGCAACTGGTATGCATGTATGTATGGTAGTAAATAATCATTGATTGGTTATAAATCAAAGGTAATATACTTTACTAATATGTATGACAGACTTATAAACTTTTCAACCCAGGGAGTTCAGTATATGCTTAAAGAGTACAGGACACTGGCTCTGCTGTGGTCCCAGGCCCTCTTTCATACCTGTTCTCTTGCTGCCATTCTGGTCCCTGTCTATTCTCCTGCCTCTTCATGCAGGTGCTAGGAGCTGGAAGACTCAGTCTGTACCAGTTGTTAGCAGTGGGGACCCACATTTCTTCTTTCTGGTAACTCTACCTTTGAATACGTCACTGACAACTTGTAGAGAGGAAACTATAGATTAGCAGAGACATAATCTCACAGACATAAGGCCTTTTCACAAACTAGCTAGACATTTTTCACTATAGGGAAAAATAGATGAAACAAACTACAGAATTTTTTCTGCTTTACTTAAGGTTCTGAGTAGCAGTGTGGGTTCTGAAATCACACTGGTCTTGATCCCCTGCCACCACTTATGCTGATCTGAGCTTGTTTCCTCATCTAAAATGCTTAGTATCCCATTACATGGTAAGTAAAAGCACGTAAAATGCAGTATCTGTTTTTCTTGGATAATTATGACTTAAGTTCCAGCCCTTTCCAATATTAATTTCAGATACCTGATATAGAAACTTCCTAAGCTACTTAGGATACTGGGTGATAATTATTACAGACTTTATGATTGGGCTTAATCCATGGGAAAAACTATTTTGTAATTTTTTTCAGTATACCTTTGCTTTTGTCTGTCATAGTGAGCATGATCAGTCACATTTGTCTGTGATGGCAGCATAGCTTAGAGATACAAGATCTTTGATTCTTTGGGTCATCATTGTGAGGAGCAGTTTTCAATGTTCAGGACTCAGAACCCTAATGTAAGATCTTACTGAGATTGCCTTGACCACAAAACCAAATCCTATATATTTCACTACTTCATTGTTAAACACATAAAAATTATCCTAATAAAAGCAGAATATGAGGGGGCTGGGTATCTACTAGTTACAGTGGCGTCATTTCAAATATCCTGTAATAACATCTCCTTAGTCTGCTTTTCTTTAATGGCACCCAACTTCTTTCCTCACTGATACGTGCTCCTATGAACAACTGATACTTTTGGTGCACACACCCACATGTCCATATCTCTTTCTATTCTTAAGGGCAGAAAGGTACGGTTGGCCACTTCAGACTGTGCAATACTAGCTTCAGCCCTGTAAAAGAATTTGGAAGACACAGCTTTACCTTAAAATCTTGAATGGTTCTTCTTGTAGTAAACAAGGTCAGGGAGAACGGTTCCAGGCAGATAGCTGTCCCTCTGAATTACAAACTGGTGAACCTAGAAGGGAAACTTCTTGCTACAATAACACAGCAAGGCGATGTGATGAACACTTTTATTTACAAATATAATTAAAAGCTCTGACAGTTATCATGCTCTTCCTTGGAACCTGAAAAATGTTTTTTTTAAAGTGCATGCAAAAGAAGTAAAGCCTTTTTTTTTTCATCATTTTTTATTGTAAGAAAATACACAGTTTGAAAGTGTGAATAATGCAATATTTATGACCAAGATATGGGACTTAGGGCAGGGAAGGGAAATAAAGAAAAAGATCAAGATGATCTGATTGAGAGACAGTGTTGAACTTCAAATACTGAATTGGAAAAGGAGGGAGGTGGGAGGAATAGGAGGAGGAAGTAAAAAAATTTGATCAGAGAAACAGTTAAAATACAATATGAAAATAAGTAATACCTCTCCTTAAATTCCTTCTATACACAAAATACACGATTTGCCAAAGCCCAATTTGTGCTACTGGGATTCTGTGAGCTCCTTAAGTGTATTCACATCCTCTGCAACAGCAGAAAATGATTATGATACAATCAGAATATGCTGAAGACAAGTTAAACTCTTGCCAGCAGGTTCTTAAAAATCACAAGATCTCTTCACCCCACCCACCCCCCCATCCCCAAAAAAGTAATAATATGTCACCACTGATATGTACATCACAATTAGTTTCTGTAAAATGTATCAAATTTTCAATCTTTAATAAAACTTTGTTTTTTTTTAATTCCTGATGAATAAATACCAAAAAATAAAATAAAATAAAATAATGCAGCAGCTAGTTAAGGTGTAAGGCTGCGGATATTGTGTCTCTCTCCCCCTTGGCATTTATTATTATTTTTTTTGCTTTACTTTCGCAGATTGGTGGTAATGAGTGATTGCTTAAAGCAATATACATCCACTTTTTTGTTGTTTATTGGTTTTGTTAAAACTGTCTCCAAAGTTTTCACTGAAACATTTTGAATCACATCGATACTGTGACGTGTACTATGAATAGAAGAGACGGCCAGGTTTTGGCCAGCACTGAAAGTTGACACGGGGGGAGGAAGGGGGCCCCTGATGGAGTAAGAATAAACAGGCACTAGTCCGACACGATGTCAGTAAGAGTAAGAGAGAGAGAGAGTGAGAGCAACGCCCGTTAAAATGGGGAATGTGGTTTTGCAGGGTCTGAATTTTTTTCTGTTTTCTTTTTTTTTGTAAATGGCAAAAAAATTTAATCTCATCTATAGTCCTCCTTAGGAAAATCTAATGTAACCAAATTCCCAAATCCCATTCTGAGGCTCTCCATGTCAAAAGTTTCAATCTCTCGCTCTTGCCTTTCCAATAGGTACTTTATTCTCTCGCTGCGTTCCTTCTGAAGGGCAGCCAGCTCCTCTTCAATCTGAAATAAGCACAACAACCAGCTGTTAATGGAAAAGATCTCCCAACAGGCACCCACATAGGTATATGTGCACACATATGATACACGAATTCATAGGAAATAAAAGTAAACCAGACTAGGGAAGGCTGGGAGAACCCTGGGATAAACATCTTGTCTGTAACCCATTATATTTAAAACTTGCTCACAAGAATAAAAATGTTAGGGGCCCACCTGGGGCTAGCACTACCATTCTAGCAAGGCAAGCAGCAGGGCTGATCTAGGTCAGTGTCCTGTCACAGCAGGAGATGGCTCAGGAGAAGCTAAAAGACACTCAAGCACAATTAGATTGCGCTGCTTTCCCATGGAGAGCCAAGTGCCCCTTGGGTCATCAGCAATTTAGTTCTAGAACAGGAGCTAGGAAAACAGTCTCTTAGGCTGGTCTCAGGGAGCTACCAGAAGCAAGCACACATAACTGGTTAAGCAAATAAGTGCTTAGCAGCTTTGAGATGCTTTATGAAATCTTTTCTACTTCATATTTCTGAGCAATATCTAAAGCAATGAATATTTCAACTCTGATAACATTTATTATGCATGGCAATATCAACCCCTCTTCATTTAAATTTTTTAAAAGAGCCCTGTTAGTGATTTCTCTTGGTTTAGAAATAACTGAAAATAAGACTCAAATCTACATTCGGCTTCCTTGTGCCATTTAGCAGTCATGCTATCAGCTCACAGCACCTTTCATATGTCATATCAACTACCCGTAACTTAAGTCATTCCTCTGGTTGGGAAGATGGACAGTTTCCTAGCAGAGTAATAGAAAGCTTAGGCCGTGGGATCAGATTTATGTAAATAATACAACTGTTTTGAGCCTTAGTACCCTGCCTATAGAATGGAGAGTACTCTCACTTCTCAGGGCTACTAGGAGTACTACAGCTGGTACTAAGTGAACAGTACCCAACTTAATCCCCAGGACATAGGAAGGGCTCAGCAGTTCCCTGGGCAGTGCCCCTTCTTCCATCCAGCTGTGCAGGACCTGTAGTAACATGTCATACCTTCTGCTCAAGATGTGCTCTACGCAGAGACACCCTCTGCTCTAGCTTCTGGAGCTCACGTTCATGTTGTGCCTCTGTTTGCATCTTGATTTTGCTCTGGTAGGCATTGAGCAGCTCCATTTCCTGCTGGAGCTGTAGTCTCAAAGCCTGGCATTCTGCTTCTTGAGCCTCGTCTAGCCGTAACTGCGGGCACAGAAGACACACATTGTAATTCATCCCAGCTTAACTGCACTGGTGACTACTAGAAGAGGTTTCTTTGTTTGGATTGAAATAGGTCCCCTCAGAAAAACATGCTCTGGGTACATTCAGAATTAGGAAACAATAGCATAATCTTCCCATGGTCTACAAAGTTCTAAAACATACATTCTTTTCTTAAAACATTATATCCTTAAGAAAGCCTTGGTTTTCTGAAAACCATACTAGCAGGAGTCAGGAAGGCTACACAGTTCAGTGAGTAGGCCTGTGGGCTTTCCAGGTTAACCCTTGAGCTTGAACTCCAGAACCACCATTCACTTAGGTGTGTTACCTTGGCAAGTTATTTAATCTCTACAAGTCTCATATTTTTTTTTTTCATCTCAAGAAAATAATTATAGTTCCTACTATTTAACACTGGTGTGAGGATTAAATGAAAGAATTCATATAAAATCTGAGGCATAGTTGTTTTTTTTTTCCCCCGAGGCATAGTTCTTGATGCATACCAACTGTTCAATAAATAGTAGCTGTTATTATTTTGGTTTTACTAACCATTTCCTATTTAGATATTTTTAACCTCAAAACCTTCATACAGCTAGATATACTTAGCTCTAAAAAAACCTCGATCTAATTTCCACAAAACTTGGAGAATATACCATAGTACGTTATGTTTCTAGCAAGTAATGCTGGCCTTTACTGCTGGCTGTACATATTTATCCAGTCTGGCTGTCAAACTAAAACTCAAGTGCTTCAAAATCTCTTGCCCATGGAAGGCAGGTTTGATAATCTTCCAACCATATTCTGGCTTGAAGCAGTGAAGTCAGATTATAAGGCAACCTGGAAAAAGTCTGCTTTGCTCTGTGAACTTTGCATTAAACACCAAGATAGCAATACTGGGTGGGTGAAATAGGCCAAGCTAGCTGGCAGAAATGCCAACTTTTCAATTAGCAGGAGTATGTTTAGTTAGGATGACCTTCCTGTCACAGGTCCTTGGTTCAGCTGTCAACTGAGACTAGAACCCCTGAATTAGTCAGCTCTGTCTATTCTGAGTTATATCTTCATGTTTTCATACAGACTATTTTGCCATGAAACTTATTCTTTAACTTATGCTTCCTTCCCTATTCTGCACAATTTGTGACAATTATCAATATCTGGAATGTGAGATGACCTTTTTAAATGTTATTAGAATAGTTTTAGAAAGTTATTTCTAACAGTGTCTTTGAGTACTTTTAGAGAGCGATTCCCTGTCATCCAAATACACAAAAAATAATGCAATCACATTTCCAAGGTACTTTCTAATCATTGATCCTAAAACCCTAATCAGCTTTAATGGAAATCCTCTTAAGAGAATACCTCTCCTAATTCTCCCAATAAGAAATGGAGAAGAGATACTAGATACAATGAACAATCTGCAGCAGGAACAGCCTTACAGATAAATGTCAAAGGCTTATCAACTCCCTCTTGTTATAGGTGATCCCTTACCAATAAAGGTAATAAAAATCTGTTCTTTGCTACTTGTCTGCATTAATGACTATGAGCCCCAGCCAAAGGGGTGAAAGGCTCATCTTATGGACAGTTTAGGCCACTGAAACATTTCCACCATCTCTTATTTCTGCATTGTTATTAACGCCAGTAATCATGTTATTCTGTATTAGCTGACTCCACAAACGTGCCTGTCTAGAAATCAGAGGGTATTCCAGAAGTTCATATTGTTCATTCAAACATTTTACATACCAAGTCCATTAAAAAGTTTTATGAAAGTGTAGGTAAATACCAAGTTTGTTTCTAAAGAGGGTTAAAATGAAGATAAGGATGTGCTAAAAGCAGCATAATGTAGTAGTAGCCAAGCTTACAGGCTCCCCCGAAAATAGGTCCAAACCCTAGCTCTGCAATAATTTGCTATCTAACCCCCTCAGTCAGGGGTTAGATAGTCTTGGCACACTCTGGCCCAAGAGCCAAGTCCTGGCTTGCTGTCTATTTTTGTAAATAAAATTTTATTGGAACACAGACCTGCTCATTCCTTTTTGTATTGTCCCTGGCTGCTTTTACACTATAATAGCAGAGTTGAGTAGTTGTGACAGAGACCCTGTGTTCCACAAAGCCTAAAATACATACGATTTGCCCTTTTGCAGGGTTAGCTAACTCCTGCCCTAAGCAAGTAGCTTTACTTTGACAAACCTGTTTCCCCACAGGTAAATTAGGGTTAAAATATTAAGTATTTCAAAGGAGTCTGACAAAAATGACATGAGTAACACAATATAGTTAACACAGGATAAGCAGTCAGTAAATAGATAGCCGCAATCACCATTTTCACACTCCCAGCGCACCGCCCCCCACGCCCCCACCCCTGACTCAGAAGGAACGATATTGCTCTCCCTTTTATTCAAGGGCGGTGTTCTGAACCTGCACTCCTGATCCCATTCTCTCTCACCTTACATAACAAACATTCTGGAGCAGCTGCTATAGATGCTGAGAATACAAAGATGAACCAGACAAAACCCTATCGGTATCAGCCTTTACGTCACTGTCCACTATTTGCTCTTCTCCTCTCCTTTAACTTCTTCAACAAGCCTCATTCTGATCCTACCCGCCACCTAGGTTACTCACATTAAGGTCACTGATGTCCACCTTGAAGGAGTCTGTATCTTACCTGCTCCCAACAGCATTTGATAATAGAGATTGCCCCTGCCTTCGTGGAACCTTTCTCCTCTTCTGAGAGATGGATAGTCTCTCGGTTTTCCCCTCCCTCTTGTCCTTTTCCAGTTGCTGAGGTGGCCATTAGATGGGATGTTCCTCAGGACTTATTTGTGGACCCTTTTCTTCCTCCTACCTCTCTTCTTTAGAAATCTCACCTATCCTAAAAGCGTCAATTACCACTACCTGCAAGAGACTCCTCCATATCTCTAACTCTTATTTCAGACTGCTCTTCTGAGCTCCAGGCCGCCTTATCCAGTCTAATAAAGACATCTTCAACTGGATGTTTCCCTGATACTTCTTCAGGCTCAACATGACTAATGTTGTTAACTCATCATCTTTCCCTTCCTACTTTCCAATCTGCTCTGCCTGGTTTATCATATAGGTAAGTGACACTATCATGTACCATTTTGTTCAAACCAGAGACTGGGAGTTACCCTTCATACTTCTTTTCACATTTAATCTGTTACCAAATGCTTTCAATTCCCTTTCCTTTCTCTCAAAGTCAACCACTTCCTCCTTCATTCTAACTGCCCCTTCTCTAGTCTAGCTACCACTTCCTTGTGCCCAGGTAAAAAAATGCAATTTCATAAATTATCTCCTATCTGCTTCCTGCCTTCTCCCAGGCCATCTCCACACATCACCAGAGTGACATGCAAATGCAAATTTGATGCCAGTCCCCTCTTCAATACTCTTCTGTGGCTTTCCATTGCTTTCAGAATAAAGATCAAAAATCTTAAGAAAGCCTGCAAGCTTCCACATGTTTATCCCTCATCTTATTCTCATTATAGTATCTTCTTCATTCTCTATTACCCAAACATAATGAACTTGAGTTCTTCAAAAATGCCACTGTTGGGCCTCCCCGGTGGCACAGCAGGTTGTGAAGCTGTCCGCAGGCTCTGCAGCGCGGGTTCAATTCCTGGCCGGCCAGGGAGATTCCCACATGGCGAGGCAGACCTCTCCTGTCTCGCCCACTGCTCCCCTCAGCAGTGTACTTTAGTCTTTCTGCCTGTTCTGCTCCCCGCTCTGTCTCTGGTGAATTCCCTCACCCTCCTATGCCTCTAGCCTGTACCCCAGAGCTTGTATAAATAAATAAATCTTGAAAAAAAATGCCATTGTTTTTTCCATCTTTACACCTGCAGTTCTTTTTGCGTGGAATGGGCTTCCTATCCTTCAGCTTAAATTATCGTGTTTTAGAGGCCTTTTCTGACACTCTAGACCTGGCTAGCTCTCCTGGTTTACACTCTCTTGGCACCCGGCACTTGTTCTGCCATTACACTGAGCAGACTTTTTCAACATTGGCTACCTCTCCTCTTCTGTAAGTTCTATGAAGACACGACTGCTGGCTGTTTTATTCACTACACTATCCTAGGATGCCTAAGGTGCGAGGTAGGCATTCAATAACTATGTGTTGGAAGAAGGAATACACTGGTTCCTATCTTCAGTTTACAACATATTTAAGCCTTTCTCAGTTAACAGACTTCTGTAACTCCTTCTGTAACTGCTGCTTCCTCTGGCTATGGCTTGCTTTCTCCTTCACAGAAGAGGATCTGGGAAGACCCATCTCATGTGCAGTTTCTATGTCACTTTATATTTCCATTCTCACCATTTCACTGATTGTCTGCGACCGTCAATGGACAAATCGACCGCAAGCTACAACCTGTCTCTCTGCAGTATATTAAACCAATTATATCCTTCTGTTGTGTCTTCTGTGACATATTCTCTCTGGCCCCCTCCCATGTCATAGATTAATCTTCTTTGGTCTACTTCTACTTAGTCCTCAAATGTTGATGTCCACAACTCTGTCCTTAATTCTCTTCATCTCCAGAACCATCTCCTGTCCCCAGATGATCTCATCTACGCAGTACCTTTTTGTCTTCTGCCCTGACATTCCTACTAAACTAGATTTCTATCTCTGTAGCTCTCTACTTGGACATTGCTCAGATAAGATGTTCACAATTGAGCAATGATCTTTCAAGCATCCAAGCTCCCCGTCCTCCTATTTTTCTCTCTTGGTAAGATGATGACCCATTTTAGTGTTGTCAAACCTAACTCTAAAACTGGCTGCTAAGTTCTAGCTATTCTACTTCCCAAATATTTCTCAAATCCTTCTCCATCCTGACTATCTCCATTAGCATATCCAAGCCTTCATCACTTTCTCCCCTGGACTATTATAACAACTTCTTATCAGGTCTCTTTACCTTTATTTGCTACTTGACTGCTGATATCTTTCAATAACACAAACCTGACTTCAATAGCGCTTCAGTGCTTCCAGAATAATACCCAAACTCCTGACTTCTGAGGACCTGATCTATGACTATCCACTTACTTCCCTTTCTACTCCTGTCACATCAACTACTAGCCTTTCTCAAATGTGCCATCCTCTTATACGCCTTCGAGTCTTTGCATGCCCTATATTTTCTGTGAGGAATAATTTTTCCTTTTCTGTTTGGTGAATTGTTACTCTCTAAGACTCATCTCCCTGTGAGATTTTCACTGAATTACCAGACAGGCTCCCATCACTGGCTTACCAAGACCTTTATGACCTCTCCATTTTGGGTACCCACAATCCTCCTCCTTGAACTTTGGGTTCAGACCAAAGTTCTTTTAGTTCCCAAACACACATTTTCCATCTTTTGGACCTTTGCCCACATAGGGCCCCTTTCCATAGTTTATTTCTATGAATTCCTTCAAACCTTTTGGCTTTTGCTGGGAAGCATTTCCTAGAACAGATTAACTGTTCCTACTTATCTTCCCATAGCCCCCAACACCTCCCACTTCAAAGCACCTATTATGCTTATTTGCTTAATCATCCGGCCTCCCTGCTTGAATGACAAAAATGTGAGGACAGGGACCAACTGTTGTCTCTCTAGCTCATCACTCTATCTCTGAGTCCAGCAAAGTGCTGAACACAGATGCTTAGTAAAAGTTTTTTGAATGAATGTATCTGTGTGTCTTATTCATTTGTATCAGACATTAGTAGGGCAATTCCTGATGAACGAAAACATGATATCATATGTGGCATCTACCACATCTTGCCCTCAAAGCCCTTATGTGCCAAGGGCTGCTTTAGCACGGTACTCCTTGAGTTCCACCTTATAAGACACATTCCAGCAAGTATCCGCATTGGCTTGACTTTATTCAGCGTCGTCATTTCCTCAGTTCTTTGGGCAGAAAAGCACCAATATCCTAAATTTGTGCAAGAATCATCTTGGGAACAAAAGGCTGGATCTTGTATTTTCTTGATTCCCAAAGCTCCTGAAGCCGTGGCACCGAACCTAACCACTTACCGCTTGAGAGGCCATCATTTCATTTATACTCTGTTCATACTGCTCTGCCAAAATGGCAAGTTTTCTCGTCTGCTCATCTTTCAGTGTCTTTAAGATTGTTTTGTGCTCATTCTTTGGAGTAACTTCCAACTGGTGATTCTTGAGTGCTTTATACTGTTTGGTCTGTACTTTGCAAGTGTCCTGAAACTGTTTTTTAATTTGCATTTCCATGGCCTGTGTAGAAAAAGTGACAAAAGGAAAACAAATACACATTAGTAAATACAAAAAACTCTTCCATCCTGATGATACACTATAGGTGCTGGGACCCTCTGTCTTTAGTGCAGTGGCCCATATTACTAGTCAATAATAATTAAAATAATATGACACAGATTCAGAGTAACTACCTTTTTTTAGTTTTATATTAAATGAATAGAAAATTTCAAATTTGAATGGTTTTTAAAAATGAATTGTTATAAGGGAATCAAACTCTAGCAGATTGTAGAATAAGAGGCTTAGTTAAAAACTTTGTTCATTATTGTAATGATTTCTGTTCAAAAATCTTTAGTGTTTTCTATCAGTTGCTGTTTTTCCCCCATTTGGGCGCCCTTTTACCTCCTTGTTTCCAAGTGAGAAAGGGGCAATGTATAAGCCAGTTCCCAATGATCTGCGTGTCTTTGAGAAATCAATAAAGGAGAACATTTAGATGATACTTCCTATCATAACCCATTTCCACTGGATTTTAGCCTAAGTGGAAGGGAAAAGAGATTTTGGCTTCCCTTCACTAAGAGGTTATGCTTGCATACAGCAGTACAAATATGTGTGCGTTTTGGCAAGGATTAGGTGGGATGTATTGTTATATGTCTAGAAGGCAGCCGTCAGGTTGACTCAGTCACGCATGCATTTCATGAACACTTGGAGGAGTTGTGATAACAGACATTGTTAAGATTTAGCCAGAGAGGACCATGACTAGGATAATCCAGAGTGACCCCACATCTGTGTCAACATTAACAATGTCCCTCTTAACAGCAATGGTTTAGTCCATATAGTTTGTTAATTAGCAGTCAGGCCAAAAATGTCACTGGAGGCAGTGAGGGCCCAAAGAGTTACACATCTCAAGTACAGGGACAGTAAGAGTCTGGTAGACTAGATTCAGTCCTGATTATGCCTGTGACAGATGCTACTAGTAAGTCATATACCCTTTTCTTACCATCCTTGGATGTGATGTGGGTTTAAAGTCTTTTTCAATATAGCAACACTCAAGGTAGTGAGGGCTACAACTAATGCTCTGGCATGCCTGAGGAAATTGATCTGCCACATACTGGCCAGGTAACTCTCTCATTAACTGGGATTAGAAACATGGGCTGCTGTTAGTCCACACATTACAATTTTAAAGAGGGCAAGTCATGAAGGGGTCAGAGAAATTGCATAATGGTTACAAAAAAAAAAAAAATTCCATGGAAAGATCCTCCAGTACAATGGTTTCCAAACCACCTTGTCCAGCGGCAGCTCTTCAGGAGTCTGTTACACACAGATTCATGTGCTTCACACCTTGAGGGTCTGATTCAGTAGGGGTGGGGCCCAGAAATTTGTAGTTTTGAAGAGTTGTCCAGAAGACTCTGACAATCACCAAAATGCAGGAACCACCAATGCAATTCAATTCCATCCTGGAGCACAAAGAGGAAAATTCTTCCATTTCCTCTTACCTTTAAGTTTTTTGGCTGTTGCCGAAGTTCCATGACATGCTTTCTGTGCAGTTCCCTTTCTCGCCTCTTATTATACTCCAGCTGGTTTTCCAGTTCAGTCTGGTGCTGTAGCCGGATCAGATCCATGCGTAGCTTCTGTAACGTGTGCAGCTGCCTGTACTCTAACTCTCGGGTGGACTCATCGTGCCGAATTAGCATGGCATGCTCCATTTCCTTCTGGGTCCTCTTTTTATTTAGTTCCTGCATTCAGGAACAAAAGATAAATGGAGAGAGATGAATGGAGATGAATTGTTCAGAATGCACAACTAAGTGAGGGGTGGTAAGGAATGGGACTATTAACTACCTTGTAATTAAACCCATTAGTGTTTGGCAGCATGATTTAATGAGGTTAGATTAACAATATCTGGAGATTTGGGTTCCTTTTGTGGGTCCACCTTTTATAGGCTGGGCAACTTCATAGCCATCACAACTACAGTATCTGTAAAATGGGATTAGCTGTACCTTACCCCTTTTTACCTCACAGAGCTGTGACCTTTAATTAGGTGATATGCATGGGTCTAAATTTTCCTTAATTAAGTCAGTGGTTCTCAACCCTGGCTGTCTATTAAAATTACAAGATGCTTAAATCCACAGCTTTGAATTCTGATAATTGTCTGTGATGGGACCAAATCATCAATAGTTTTAAGAGTTCTCCAGGTGATTCTGATACTCAGGCAAGAGGTGAGAATGACTGAATTAAACTGATAATGTCTTCAGTGTTTTTACTTTTCTGGGAAATATCCTGTGTATTTGCACATATCAGAGGTGTGTGTGTGTTGGGGGGTGGTGGTGAGAGGATTCACCAGAGACAGAGTGGGGTACAGAACTGAAATACACTGCTGAGGGGAGCAGAGGGTGAGACAGGAGAGGTCTGCTATGTAGGTCAGCTCCCTGGCTGCGGACCGAACTCATGCCATACTGGCTAGATAGCTTGATAAAGCTGAGACTTTAACCCCTCTGCCACCAGGGAGGCCCTACCTATTTTTTTTTTTTAAATCTTAGAAAATGCAGATAAGATCTCTCCCTTTTCATCTTTTTCCATTATAATCTATTTGATCATTTCTAGATCTGCAGTTCTTTCCAGTTCTACTCATGTCTTTTTCACTTTTTTTTTTTGTTGTTGTTGTTGAAGGAGAGGGGAAAGAAAGGAAACCAAAATAAAAGGGGAGTAGAAGTATTTTCATTCTCCAATTCAAGAATATTTCCTAAATAGTACTTTATCAAATATCTGAACCATGTGCTCTGGGTACATAAAAATGTTATTAAGCTAGGACTGCCCTCAACTAGCTACCATTCTAGCAGGAAACTGTAATAGACAGTTATTGAAGTATATGCTTAGCTCATAACTGATTTGGATTTTCTTTCTTGGGAATCTGGAATGAGGATTCAGAGACAGTTAATCTTTATATATGGATGGAATTTAGGGACTATGTATGTGGTAGCCAGATACTAGGAGGGCTGAGGATTAGAGATTGGACTTTAGTCCAGCCTGGACTTCAGAGAAATGAAAAAGAAGGCAGGAAGAAATTCAGGGAATATATCAATGCCCAAGTTTTTAGCTGGTTCTAAGTACTCCTGTAGGTCCAATGGTATTTTTGCTATGGGTTTTATGAAAATTACCATATTTCTGTAGTAAACCCCCCAGGTTTTGGTTTAAGTTAGCTCAAGTAATTTCAGTAATATGAAAACAAAAGAACCTAAACACTGGGAAATGTTTTATGTATAAATTAAAAAGAGAGAGAACAATGTTGGAAATAATAGGTGCTACAAAAGAGGTAAATCTTGGAAATTGTATGCTGTAAGATTTCTGAAAAAGGTGGTATTACTACTAGAAAAAGATCACGCAAGGAGAAAGCTTTTGAGATGGACTTTAAATTAGAACAATGGGTCACCTCTCTTCTCTGGTAGCATCCACTATGGGAGAAAAGATATTTTCATAGAATTATCAAAAATAATTGTATATTAATGTGATGGAGAACATCTTGCATACTTGAAGAGAAGTCCTTTAAACAGCCCAGTATCTACTGGGAGCAAAGTCACTAATCATTCATTTATTTATTCAACAAATATTTGTTGAGCACTTACTATGAGTCTGGTATTGTTGCAACACTAGGGATAAAGCGTGAATAAGGAAATTTCCTCATAGATAATTTCTAGTGGGGAGTATCTGAATTACAAATGCAATTTATTTTTGTTTTAAGGAATAAAAGATGATCTCCTAGAACATCTTCCCCAACCCCATCCTATAATTCTTTTTCTTTTTTTTTTTTATAGTACACATACTTTTTTTTTTTTTTTTTTTTAATAGAGGCATGTTTTTCTTTATTTATTTGTTTGCTTGTTTGTTTGTTTTGTTTATACATGCACTGGGTACAGTCAGAAGCGTGGGAGGGTGAGAGAATTCACCAGAGCCTTTTTTTTTTTTTTTTTTTAATAGAGGCATGTTTTTCTTTATTTATTTGTTTGCTTGTTTGTTTGTTTTGTTTATACATGCACTGGGTACAGTCAGAAGCGTGGGAGGGTGAGAGAATTCACCAGAGCCAGAGCGGGGAGCAGAGCAGGCAGAAGGACCGAAGTACACTGCTGAGGGGAGCAGCGGGCGGCAGGAGAGGTCTGCGCGCCATGTGGGACCCTCCTCCGGTGGCCGGGGAGCAGCCGGGGATTGAACCGGCACCGCAGAGGCCGTGGGCAGCTTCGCAACCCAGCGCTCTACCGCTGCGCCACCGGGGAGGCCCCTATAATTCTTTTTCTTGTTTTATTTTACCTCTTTACCTGGATCAATTGCTTCTTTTAAAAGGAGCCCCTAGGTGGCACCAAAGAACAGTGAGGCCTTTCCAGAGGTGACAGCTATTCCAGGCCAATGGCCAAGAGGAAAGCCCTTTAAATGGGTAAGGTCCTGTTCTTGGGCCATTGCACCACTTTTTACCTGTGAGTACCAGGACTCCCAATAACAGACACTGAAACATCCCATTTCCTAAACTGAGAGGTTTCAGTTGAGTTTGAGTTAAAAAAAAAAAAAAAAGACACAATGTAAACAAGACTTGAGTCAGAAGAAACCAGTTGCATCTCTATTTAAAGGTGTGCTTCAGGATACTCTCTCCAGAAAACTAGCATCAGAATTACCCAGGGCACATGTGATTAGTGGTTATAACAAGTCACCCAGCTAACTGCCATATACTCAAGTTTGAGTAGTACTGGAAAAATATTCAATGTGTGAGTCAATTTAACTTTCCCATAGATTCATCATGTATAATACTGCACACGTCTCTGAATCTACATTGTAGTTTTCTCAGGTGTAAAAAGAGGATACACGAGCTACTATTCTGTGAAGATGAAGTGAAAGACCATAAAAACATGCTTTAGAATATATAAACATACCATTATCATTTCTCTGTATTTAGAAGTGAATATCTGGCACGTAATATCTTAAACTTATAAACTATTGAAAAGGTGAGAGAAACATGACATGAAAAGGTTTTTTGTTACAATTGTAGGTTGCTCCTTTGCCTTTAATTCATACATGTGAGTTGCTGCCATGTAAGCTGGTAAACTGCCTATAACATTTTATACCATGAGAAAAAACATCCTGCTTATTGTGAGCTCACTGCTACACAACAATGTGTAATGTGCTTTCAATTTTTAAAAGTGATTTTTTAAAAAGATTTATTTATTTATACAAGCACTGGGGTACAGGACAGAGGGGTGGGAGGATAAGAGAATTCACCAGAGACAGAGCGGGGAACAGAACAGGTAGACTGACTGAAATACACTGCTGAGGGGAGCAGCGGGTGAGACAGGAGAGGTCTGTGTCGCCATGTGGGAATCTCCCTGGCCAGCCAGGAATCGAACCTGCACTGCAGAGGCTGTGGACAGCTTCACAGAGCTGTGCTCAACCTGCTACGCCACCGGGGAGGCCCCTTAAAAGTGATTTCATTAATCTTCCTGCAAACACAGGAGGTGGTTAAGACTGCAAGGGTTTACCTATTTTATATATGACAGTAAGGCCTCAGGGAATTGAGAGACTAATGTAAGATCATACAACTTCTACAAAACAGAACTGAGGCTAAAACTCAGGCTTTTATATTAACATTTTCTGTTAAAAGATGTCCCAATGAATGGCTTATGTTTCATACTTTTTTAGTCTGTGATGCAATATTCCAAAGAATTCCTCTGCACTAGCCAGATACCATGCAATGGTGGTTTTATTTTTACAAACAAAATGAGCCATGTCACGTGTACCCTTAACTTATAAAAATTCAAGAGATGAAGCTGAAAAAAATTACAAAATCAGATTTAATGGCGATTCTGTCCACCAGCACACTCAATGTGCATGTGCGCTGGAGGGAGGGTAAGGTGGGAACCCACAGTCCCTTAACCATGGTCTCCGTCACACACTGTGGGCATCTCGCCAAGCTGAGTGTAGAGCTTAGTGCTGAAGTATATGTGCTTTTCATACACTATGGCCTCTAAGCACAACCATACTTTATGTGAATCTACCTCCTGTGAAAGAAGTGGACCCAGGGTATGCTCCCTAATGCCTTGTCTCTACCCCTGTTCCAAGCATTCCATCAAGTTTCAATGGAACTGCTATGACTTTATACAACAACTGATCTTTCTTGTCAAAGTTTTTATTCTCATGCCCACTGAGGTTGAGTAAGAATTAGAATTCAAACTTTCAAATGGAAATGTTGTTAGCCTATGACATTTAATGCTTTCTTAGTTTCAGTTCTGTTTCATATTGGGTTAGAAAATAGTGAGCATATGTGTTTAGTGATGATAGGGAAAGAGTTTCCATCCAGTTGGTGGCGACTCCTTTAAATGTTTTCATTAATTAAAAGGATTACTAACTCTCAGTTTTGGCAAAGACACTGGAAAACACGTCCTCTTTGCTGGTGGGAGAATAAACACTTAGCAGATACAATTTGGTTACATCTATTAAAAAAGACATGTACTCAAAGGTGTTCTCTGTAGCACTGTAAGTAATATAAAATATTCACAAAATAGTCACTGAGAAGTATCGCATTAAATAAATGATTTTTTTATGCCAAAGCAAAAAGTACTATTAGTAGTTTAAAAAGAATAAGGCAGAGCTGTATGTCCCAGATAGTAAATGAGGAAAGAAAAGTTACAAAACAGCCTAGTGGACATTTTTGCGGGTTCAGTACCCATTTTCCCTTCTTAGTTCACAGGCTCCTCTTTTTGCATGAGAAATTATTCCACCCTGCCTGGAATCAGAGAGAGTAAGGGAGTAAGCACAATACTCAATCAAGTTGCATCCCTCCTAGGAATTTGACTTTTAAGCAGAAATGTTACAAAGATTAAAACATGGTTGGAGGCTATACCTCCAAATGGCAAGGCCTTGATGAAAGCCCATTAGATCTTGCTCTTAGTTCACTGATGTTGCTGTTCCAGCTTGATTCTTAATCTTTTTCTGGTTTGGTTCTTCAGTCCTGATACCTACCTGATAACCTTCTCTGATTACTCCATACCTACCCCATATTCTTCCAATAAATTCTTTCCAGGCTAAATCAGCCAGAGATTTTTTCCTATTGTTTGCAAATCAAATAAACCCACTGATATTAACATAATTTTAGTTTTGTAAAATTCAAGTTATATACACTACATAAACTATAAGCATGGAAGAAATCCAGAACTCTATCTGCCAAATTAATGGTGACTGTGTAAGGGTAGAGATCAGGTGGGATGGGATTAAGAAGAGCTTTCATTATTCAACTTTGTATTTTTCTGTATTTGTCTTTTTTTCACTGTTCTTTCATTTATAAATAGAAGAACCAGCCACATTTTCAGGACAAAGATTCTGGAATAAGGCTAAACAAAGGCAATCTAGAATCTTAAGAAAAGTACGCTTAAAGAGTGATTCTTTGTTCACTTGGTTAGAATCTGATGCTGTGGAAGTCATGAATATAATTTCTAACATTTTTGAGAAATATCTGTCTTCTATAGCTTTTACTAGAACTAATTGTCTCTTTGTCCTCAGACTTTCTCCAAGTCTGTGCTATAAGCATAGCAATTACTGAATGAAAAGAATCCAAGATACCTAACTTCCCATCTCATCAATCTCTAACTTGAGATATACTTCCAGATTTCTTCCTGTGCATATGTCTACATGCTTATAGCTTATATATATAACTTGAATTTGACAAAAGTTTACTTCCAACCAGCTACTGGAATTTCATTTGGAATTTTTGCCTTTTAACAAACTCAGCATGTCTAGTACTGAATTAATCAACTTTTTACCAACACCTCTCTCTGAGCTTCTGTTCCTGCCCAAATGTACATTTCCCCAAGTCTTAAAACCTTGAAATAATTTTGATTCTACCCCCCAGCTTTTCTTATATCCTATTGTAAGCCAAGTCCTGTTTATTTTATACTTCAAAATGTTTAAAATCCATCTCTCTTTCAACAGCTACCACTACCATCCTTGTCTATCCTTTATTCTGGCCATGTGATCTCTTTGATTCTAGTTTTTTTTCCCCACAAGTTCAGTTCTCAAGCTCTTCTCTTCCATTACTGTCCCCATGGGGTGTCTTTTTAGACTCCCCCCACCCCCACTGCTCCTGCCCCTGCAATATCTATCTATTAGTCATAGATATACTATATATCTGTCTATGAACTGTCTTTCAGGGGGCCACAAACTTGTAATATCTAAGACCCCTTCACCCACAAGGACCCATTTCACCCCTTGGGGCAATATTGCTTCCACTAAGAACATCTGCTTTAATCAGTCTGTGTATCGTCATCAAATTGGGTTAATCTTTCTAAAGTAAAAAAAAAATTGTCATATCCCTCACTGCCTGGCTGAAAAATGTTCAGCAGTTTCTCCCTCTTCCAGGAAGGTGAGATAACTTAAAGAATCTGAATTTGTCCATAACTATGTGTTCAATAAATTTTAATTTGCTCTGACCATTTTTTCTTCCTATTTGAATACTCCTCTGCAAAAAGCATATACCAATCCACATTCCCATTAAATATATTTGAAGTGCTTATTTCCCTTAAGCAGGCTAGCACAAGGTTTTGATCAAGCAAATATTTTTGCCAACGTGCCAGCTTATTCATGAGGATTTCTCTGATTACTCCAGGTCACAATGATTTCCTATTGAACTTTGATTCTGCTACTGATTCAGATTCTATATATTCTTTCTCTCAGTGAGTAACATCCTATTCAACCAATTTTTCAAATTAGAAACTTTGAAGTCATTCTTTGACTCCTCCTTCTCCTGAAATTCTTACATCCTGTGGTCCAATTTATTGTTAGTTCTGTTTCAGAAAAGATTTCTCTCTATCTTCATTGCCTCTTCCAGGTGGGATTAGAGAAAGAATATCCTGGCTGACCACCTGTACGTTGCTGTCACTATTCCAGCCTATCCTCACAATGACACTTGAATTTTTCAAAACAAAGAAAACTCTCAGGTCGCTCACCCCCTGCTTAAAAACCTCTGCTGGCCATGCAACTGCCTTCAGGTTAAAATCTTAAAGTCTTAACAAATGAGACCCTCGGTGTTCTGCTTTCAGTGACTCTTTAGCTGGCCCCCCACTCCACACACCCAGAACTCTAGTCACACTTAACTCCTCATCAATCACTGAAACCCCCAAGCCCTTTCATGATTACAGGCCCATATTTTATTATATTGTAACTAGTTTGCTCCATCTAATATATTTTAATTAGTCTGTTATGCACATCTGCTTCTCCTCTTAGACTTAAGGCTAACTTAACTGAAGGCAGGAAGGGAGTAGTTACCTGGCAGCACTGGCATCTCTTGCACAGTGCCTGGCACAAAGGAGGCACTGCAAGTGCTGGGTGGCTGAGTGAATTAACTCAATCACAGAGCATCATACTGTTATGTAAATGCTTCAAGGAGAGTCACAAAAATACAAGGCTTTGATAAGCAGGATGAAAACAAAATCCATTCTACATCTTTTGCTTCCTGACTACATGATATGTCTTATAACAGGTGTTCAATAAAATTCTATTGTATTTATTCAGAAAAAGTTGATTCCTTCATTTGTTAATGGGCTTCTCCCCCCCTCATTTCAGTGGGAAATTCATTCTCTGACTTATTTTATATACCTACTTTATGTTGGGCATTGAGCTAAAGATTATGAAGGTTAATGATACAGGAGTGGGCAAAACAGAGATGGTCATTATCCCCACAAAGCTTTTGTCTCACAAGTGAATGAGAATAACTATGAACATAGTAAATACCTCCCGAATGTTCTGCTGCTCCACCTCATGCCGCTTGATCATTATTTTCCGCTTGAAGAAACGGCAGTTTTTGTCATAGTACAGTCTCTGCTGAGTGAGAAGGTGGGCTTCCTCTTCAGCCTGTGTGTGCTGCAAGTTCTCTTTATGCTTGGATATCCGCTCTTGCTTTTCTTTCTTGGGTGTGCTATGGTCCTCGTTCATCTCCTTCACAAAAGAAAAAGAAAAAGAAAAACAAAAATGTTGGTCATATCAAGAAAAAGAAACAATAATAGTTTATTTTAACGGTAGGAAGCAAATGAGAATGTAAGGATGGAAAGACTTGGTGTTGCACATCTGTACCCCCCGCTTCCATTTTTTTCTCCTGCCAACAATTTTTTTTTTATCGACTGAGTATTAAGTGAGAGGGAGACTTGTTAGTTTCCATGACTCTGACTTCTCATTCTCAGAAATTATTTGTTCATTCATTCAATCAACACACAGTAAGTTTCTGTCATGTGACAGGCACAGTAAAGACACAAGGATACAATGATGAGCAAAAGAACATGATAACTGTCGTCGTGGGACTTTACAGTCTAGAATCAAAGGACACCAAAATGAACTGAAATTATCGTGATAACTGCTGTGGAGATGAAGTATTTGGCTTTACAAGGATATTTAATAGAAAATATTTGACTGTGGTAACAACTAAGTTGATATTTGAAAATTTTTCTAGCTTCTAACCAGTGAAAAGGAGAAGGAAGAATACTCTGGGCAGAGGAAATAGCATGTGCAAGAGCCTGAGGGTGGGTTAACTGAAATATGATGATCAAGGAACTGAAAGAAGGCCAGAGTGGCTGGTGCAGTGTGACATGAGGTGAAGCTACAGGTAGGCAGGAACTTCAGAGTTCAGAGGCCTTACAAGTTAAGGCCAACAAAAAGTTAAGTTTTCATGAGTATAAGAGAAAATGACTTTATATATGACAGGGGTGTCATGAAGAGAGGCATTACAAAAGACGACTCTGCTATTTGGAGAAGAGAATGAAGAAGGCAAAAGTGTATACATAGAGATAGCTGGGAGGCTACTGCAAAGGTCTAGGTGAGAGATGATAGTAGTTTGTACAAAGGAGGTGGCGACTAGGCCAAGAGAAGAGGACAGATTTCACAGACAGGAGATTAGCTTTGCAAATGTCAGCAGTTTGAAATTCAGGAAAAAGCAGGAATTTGCCCCAAAATAAACCACCTATATTTTCAAAAGGACAAAATTCATTATTTTGAATTATTTGAGCATAATTATTCTGATAATATGGGTGAAGGGACGAAGCAGTTAATTAGGACTATTAAGAAGATGTTAATCTATGGAGGGAAATAAGACCACTTGTACAGACAGTAAAGTACGCTCTTTTTCATACTGACAAGCTTGACCTTTGCTAACTACTCACTCAGTTAAAATTTCCTTTAATTGCTACCATTTGCTCTCCTCAGTGCTTTGGGATGCAGACATCACTATTTGCTATTTTTACACTTAGTCAACAAGTGCTTGGAAATCAATTTTAAGATTTCCTGTTCTACTGGAGTTTTAAGTGAAATATTAGAATCAAAAGCAAGGGCTGTTTCCAGCCTGTAGGAAGCTGTGAAATAACAGGATGGTGGTCCACCACTAATGCCATGGCTTTACTACTAGGCTTGGCACTAACCACACAAATTGCACACAAAATTTAAATATGGTCATAAAATTTTACCCCCAAGCCAAGAATAAATTATTTCTGAATCATTCATCATTCTGTATTGCTCACATCTTTATTGTCTAGCAGCAACGGTGATAACTATATCATTTTGTCACTCCAACACAATACTTTTAAGTATATTAATATCTAAATATGAATGCTATTTTAAATATTAGCTCTCCACAGAAAGGCCATCTCAAATTGGTTTAGGCTTCTTTATCTCATGAGTATGTTGAAAGACTTAAAAGTTTAGGCCTATTGTCTCTTGCGCTGATAAATCTGAGTATGGTGAACCAAAAATAGCGTATTGCTTGAGGACTGAGTGGGAACTCTCCAATGCCATTCTATAGAATTTTCTAAAGGTAGAGTTCATGTAATTTCTAAATTCCTTGATGTTACAAAAGCTCAAAATGGTGGCAATAGTCAAAAAGTATGGCGTCCAGAGCATGAGAGAACAAAAGAGCTGAAAATAAGAACATATTTGCAGGTGAGAAAAATTCAAAAGTTGTTATTGAAAAATCAAGGTCATTTTTGTAAACCAGTGACATCTTTCTATTCTGATATAATAATTAGGCTCAAGCAACAATAAAAAAGAAAACAGGAGAACATGAACCTTCTCAGTTGGGCTATTTCTCTCTACAGGTTGGTTTTCCAGACTTAAGAGAGTCAGAGATTCTTTCCATTCAGGAAATGTGGATCCAGTACAATTTTCTGGGGGCCAACAATTAGCAGAGGCTCCTCTGGGCAGGGCAAAATATCCTGAGGCACACCCCACCCCACTTGCTTTCACTTCCTTACGAAAATTAGAGAGGAATCTTGCTAAGACCCATAATGTTGACTTGTAAATTAAAATGTGAGCTCAAGTGAATAATTTTATATACTAAAACAATGTTCCAAACTGGATTTTATTAAGCTGTAATACGCTGGTAGTCTACAAATAAGAAATCCTAAGTCTTTGAGAAGGAAAGTCTATGGAATCGTAGGCAATTCACCTGCAAGTACTGGTAAAAAAAGAACTGAAGAAATCTGAGCTTTCAGATCAAAATGCAGTTTCTCAGGAGGACTTTCTAAGTCCACTAGCGGTCTTCAACAAAACACTCAAGAATCATTCATTCATTCATCACATATTCACACACGCCAAGCTACAGGGATGTAGTCATGTGTAATTTTTTTTTTTTTTTAAGTGATTTTGTGAACTAATTCCTACTTACCCTACTAACTGGTGAGTGATAAGAGTAAAGATTGTGTCTTTTTTGTTTGTTTGTTTGTTTGTTTTGTTTTGTTTTGGTTCATGACTACATCCCTGTGTGGAGATTTCTGGACCTACTAAACATAGAGCTTCCATATGATCCAGCAATTCCACTCCTAGGTATTTACCCAAAGGACACAGAAACATCAATTCCAAAGAGCACCTGCACCCCTATGTTTATAGCAGCACTGTTTACAATAGCTAAGCTTTGGAAACAGCCCAAATGCCCAAAAATAGATGACTGGATCAAGAAGATGTGGTACATATATACCATGGAATATTACTCAGCATTCAAAAAAGATAAACACATGCAATTTGCAGCAACATGGATGGCGCTGGAAGGGATCATGCTCAGCGAAATAAGCCAAAAAGAAAAAGAAAAATACCGGATGGTCTCACTCATAGCAGGAATCTAGAAAACTTAAATAAGGGACCAGGAAAATGAATAACTATAAGAAAGTGAAAATCAAAATCAACAAAAAACTACGAACCAGAGACACTTTTAGGGGGGCGGGGGTGGGAGGGGAGGGATTGGGGTCAGAATGGGGGGGCTGCAATTGTATGGGGAATATAAAAATAAAAATTATTATTAAAAAAAAAATAAAGAACATGGAATCAGTAAAAAAAAAAAAAATGTGTAATTGAAAAGTAAGTGTTATGAAACCAGTCTTGGTTGAGGCTGTCAAGAAAAGCTTTCCTGAGGAAGTGGTATTTAAGTTAAGGCACTAATAAACAAAACTACATTTTATGAGGAAGATGTGGAATTAACAACCGAATTGTCCTTGGGGAAAGACTGGGTGGAGAGAGTTGAAAGCGTTTCCTAATGGAAGGAAAAGAAAGGAAGGGAGGAAAGAAGGGACGGAGGGACTCAGGGAAGGAAGGGACAGGAAGAAATGAGGTTTCAAAAGACCTTGGAGAAGGGCGTAACTTGATACATTTATTTAAGAGTGAAAAGGTGAGCATGTGGCTGGAGCAGAGAAGAACTGGGGTGGGATAAGCAGGCTGGGAGACACTGGTATCAGATGAGACTGGATGGGATGCTGGCAGCAGCACATCACGCAGGGACTTGCAGTATTCTCATCTAGCCCAAGAGCAAAGGGAAGACAATGGGTGTTAAAACCATGAAGTGATGTAACAAGACTTATAGTTTGAAAAGATCACTAGATGAAGTGTGGAAAATTGGCAAGAACAGTTTAGGGGTAGATTAATGGTTCCTGAAGTTGGTGCCTGGACCAGTGATATCAACATCTCTTGGGAATGTGTTAGAAGTACACATTTTCAAACTCTACCATGGACCCACTGAATTAGAAAATCTAGGGGTGGGTTAGCAATATGTAAAACAAATTGTAAAATACATACTTCAAATGATTCTAAAATAAAGTCTGAGAATCTCTGGATTAGATCATTGGTCACTGTGAGAAAAATCAACTTTAAGTTCCAACCATTCTACTGACAATTTGGTGACTATAAATATTGATACCCTTACCTCTTTTATTTTTTCCTTACAAATCTTATACTGCTTCTTCTGACTTTCTAAGAAAGTTGTCAAATCTTTTTTCTGCTGGGCCAAGATCTGTTGCTGGAACTTCTTCTCATCTGCTGCAGCTACCTTTGCCTGATAAAATAACATATACCATTTAAGATGAATTATTCTTCACACAGTATTCAGTTGTCTGAAGTATTCTCTAATGCATTAAAATAACTCATAAGTGCTGAATAATTTTAGGTGTTGAATAATTTTAACAAATCACTAATAAAATAGAAATAAAGAGATGCCTTCTGATTCTCTTGTATCTTAAAAAAAATGAAATTTTTACCATTGAAAAATATTTCCTATTATGGAAAAATATGAAAGTAAACCATAAACATGTTTTGTTGAATACAAAAAAACCCCACCAAACACATGAAATGAAAAGTGAATTAAGTACTATATGGGGCCTCCCTGGTGGCACAGTGGTTGAGCACTGGGTTGTGAAGCTGCCCGCAGCCTCTGCAGGGCTGGTTCGATCCCTGGCTGCTCCCCGGCCACCAGAGGAGGGTCCCACATGGCGCAACAGACCTCTCCTGCCGCCCGCTGCTCCCCTCAGCAGTGTACTTCTGTCCTTCTGCCTGCTCTACTCCCCGCTCTGGCTGTGGTGAATTCTGTCACCCTCCCATGCTTCTGACTGTACCCAGTGCTTGTATAAATAAATAAATCTTTAAAAAAATTATAAAAAAAGTGAATTAAGTATTATAATAATATATTTTTATCCTGTTGATGGTAGCCCAAGAGTCTGATTATAAAAATGGACAAAAAACACATAGCTGGACAGTTTTATTCTAAGAACCAAACTCTGATTTGTTATTTCAACTATCAGATTTCCTAGTGGGGTCAACTTTAGTATATACATAAAGAGAAGGACATTTTGCTTTCTGAGACACCTACAACAGTGGGACACCAGGACATTTCTGAAGCTCCTAAACAGATAGAACACAGACCAAATATAAGATAACCCAAAAAATACTGGTTTCTAGGACAAACACTAGATAAGTTCACTCATACTTTTCACCTTTATCTCTATTATCAACAAGTCTTCCATTATGAACAATTTTCTCTCTTTATTTCCCAAGTCAAATTTCCAGGAAAGAATGTGGTTTAGTTAGTCAATGTCAACTCTACTTGGAAGATGTTTTCATGTCAGGCTGCCTCATGGAATGATAGACTACTGGGGAATGTTTCTTTTAGAATTCTGATGTTGTCCTCCATGTGGAGAGAGAGAGGCTTAATTATTGAAACATCTTTGGCACCTTGTCCTAGTCACTCTATCCCCGGGGAGCACCTGTTCACCCCTGCTTTGCACATTATGTAAGTCTTAGCAGTAGGGAAGACAAATGATTTAGCAATGCTCCAGTCAGGGTAGGCACGTCTTAATTTTGTTAAGTAATATTAGGGTCAGTTTCCTTTAAACATAAATCACTTCTTCCAGCTAACATTTATCAATAATAAAGGTGATAATAATTTGATTCTATCTGCCTTACCCTCTTATTCTGTTTTTTTTTTTTTTTTTTTTAAATCAGTTTAGAACCTGGATGGAGAAGAGAGGAGGTCCTTAGAATACCCAAGCAATAACTGGATTAATTACTTGCTGCCAATGGTAAGGAGCCCATTGTTAGTCTAATCAGTTGTGGGTAGGATTCATCACCACTAAAAGGGAGTATTTTATGGAACGGTTTTCTTTTGAAGAGTACAGTGAGTATGGTGGACACTCCAAAAGACCTGAATTTTGCAAGTTCACATAAGACAGAAGGATCTTGCTTCATTTTATATGTACCCAGGCCCCCATTAAGGGACTGATGCTCAGAATACGTCTGAAAAGAAAAGATGTAGTACACACTTAGAATTACTATTTTATGCTTTCAATGATGATTTTAAGTAAAATCTGGAAACTATCCCCATCACCAAAGCAGTACCTCCTGCCCACATGGCGCTACTGACTGCAACAGGCTGGGCTGGGCTGGGTTGTGGCACAAGGGCATCGTGTACATACTGACCTCCTTTTCTATGATAGCCACTTGCTTCTTGGCCAGCTTCTCCAGCTCGATGGACGAGTTGTTGGCATGCGTCTCCACCTCTTTCTGTAGCTTGAGGCGGTGCTCGTCCATCTCAGCCTTCAGCTTGTTCTCCAGGGCGATCAGCTGCTTCTGGTGCTGGCGCCGCATCCGCTTATAACCTGACATCTGTTCCCGCAACTCGTTCTCCTGCTCATGCTCATGGATCTGCCGTGTAACCTGATTTGGGTGGGGGAACAGAAAGGTAACTAGATGCATGGAAGACAAACTTTCAGGCAAAGTACAAGAATCCTCTGGCATAATTTTATTTATCAATGTCATTAACCTACTTACCATTTCCTGAACATTCACCTGTGCTGGGCGCTGTGTTGGGTGTTCTTTATATACTTTATTCTTAATCCGAAAACCATCTCATTCATTTATTCTTTTTATTCATTCATCATCCCCATTTTACAGATGAAGAAGCTGAGACTTTTGTCTCAATAATATATTGGTGATACCATTTTTTATATATACACACATATGATATATATATATATATATACGTACATATTTTATACACACACACACATGCTCAAGGTCACAGAGCTTATAAGGAGTAGAGCTGAGATTCAGATCCATTTCTGTTTGATTCCAGAGCCATGTATTCCCTTATGCCAGGATTTCTCAGCATTGGCACTAGTGACAATGGTCACATAATTCTGTTTTGAGGGACTTTCCTGTGATTTGTAGGGTGCTTAGTAGCATACCTGACCTACTCAGTAGATGCCAGTAGTACCTTCTAAGTCAAGATAATCAAAGATGTCTGCAGCATTGCCAAATGTACCCTGGTGGCAAAATTTCTCTGGGTGCACGATATTATACTGTTTGTGTTTAAGGATCGTGTCTCTAACAGACACAGGAATTTTGAATATCCTTTTAAAATAGTTTGGACAAGATTTATTTCCTATTAAATTGAATTGAGAGAGCAAGGTGAGAGAGTGAGAAACTTTCTTTTGAAATCATCTTTTTCCCCCTCCTGCAAAAGAGCTGTTAACAAATTACCATCTAATTATTTATTCTCCTAAAGAAGAGAAAGCACATCTATACTGTTTGAATGGCTACATAGTAATTTTTTCCTTAACCTATACTCAAGTGAATACAACAAATTGAAATTGCAAATGCAAATTTTGGCATCTCTTCCTTTTTTCTATTAAACCTTTTCTGGTTTTCCTGTCCTTTTTCATCTTTCAAGTTATTATCCCTCTTTAATTTCCTATTAGGTCATTTCCTCTCATCTTCCTATTTTAGAATAAAAATTTTAATTACAAAATGGTGAGTTTAGGGTTTTTTTTTCATGAAGTAATTTAGTTACTCTTATCTATTACACGCAACTTTTCAACCTAACCCTCAAACGAGTTTTACTGGAAATTCTCATGCTGCTATTAATTCTCTCTACTAATTTCAGTTTATGGGGCAAAGTGCATCTTGTACAAAGAACAGTTTGTTTCTCTGTTCTTTTTGGAAGGTGTCTCTGCTACTAGACCAAGTTCTTACTATCAAGAGTGTTCTGTAACTGGATAGTATTATCAAAGTACACCATTAAACATTAGCCGAACTTTGAAAACTTTCCAGCTGAAACTAACACTGGGTCTCACATATTCATTTCTCTTTTCAAAATGACAATCCTCTATAAGGTATGAGGAATAAAAGCAGAAGATATTGCAAGACTATATATATATATATATATATATATATATATATATATATATGGCATCACCAAGAAGGCATATAACACTCTAAAGAACAAAGTTTATTTTGTTATACAAAATTAAAAAAAGTTCATTTTTAAAAATGAACTTAGCTCATAATAAAAGGAAGGAAAGAAGTGGTTTGAAATATATATGTGTATTTTACTTGCTCATGTCTGCCACCCTAAAGTTCAACTATGGTGAAAAAAAAAAAACAATTTCAATCAGTAGAAAGGATACCACTTAGTTCTTCTGGATTCACTTGTTTTTCAGACAAATATGATAGTAAAGTGTCTCTTTTAGGATAATGAATTTAATATATGTTTTATTCATATGTTTTTTTTCTAATTTTAGTATTCCTTCTTTAATCAGATCCCCAGAGCTGAGGCATGGCACACTCTAAAGTCACCATGACACATTTAAAACTTGCCAACAGAATGTCTGATTGGCTTGTGGTCCATAAAATATTTCTAAGATGACCAATTCCCTATACCAGATAGACTATAAAATGTAAATGAGCTGTGTCAAAAACATTTTCTATCCTAATTGCTGGGCTAGTCTCTGTGAAGGGGTGGATCTACTGCATACTAGATCATACAAATTTATAGCAGAAAAACACAAATTTCACTATGCTATCATTGTACATCATTGAATGCCAAGAAGACATTTTGCTTTTTGAATGCTTCCCATAATTTGGATAATCACCTTCTTAAACTCTTAATATCATCTTCCATTTGTTACAAGTAAACTTTTCAAGAATAGTCTTTTTAGGTACATACATATAAAGAAACTGAGTTTCATAATCCTATGCTTAAACTAGATAGATGAATCTAAATAAGAGTATATCCAGATGTTTCATTTATAAAGCCTAAAATGTGAAATATATAAAAAATAAGTTATCTACAGTTATGTATACCTGTGTGTTTTAAGTTTACATTGCATACCTTATAAATATACTATTTGACAACGGAATTAAAAAAAGCTCATATTTTTATCATGCCTTATGGTTTACAATATGTTTTCAAATGTAATTTATCTTTAATTTCTATTAAGCCTGAGGTTTGAATTAAGATCCGATGGCTCTTGAATTACCTGAGAAAATCCACATCACCAAGATAGAAAAGAGTTAATATTTTCTGTTATGAATAATGGAGGAAATCAACTACCTACAGAGTCAAACTGGAGAGAGTGGTAAGGTTAAGTTACAAAATGACTAACTCTAAAAATAAGTGAGTTATAGACATGATAGTGATTGTAGTTTTCATAATGGTAGTTTAAAAAATGTGATGAACTAAAGTTGAGGGCAGTATTACCTTGTCACATCCACTATGTTGTTTGGAGACAAACCTCATTCCACCCCATATTCTATAACTGACCTTATGCAAGTTACTTAACCTTGTGTACTCTCTCAGTTCTCTGTGCATATATAAAGAGGAACCACCGGATCTTCCTCAAGACTAGATGAGATAACATTTGTGCCTAGCAAGTTGTCTGACACAGAGGAAATGTTCAATATATGTCGATTTCCTTCCTCCTCCTGTCAGGCTCTGAGTAACACATCTCTTTTTCCCTTCCCTTCTGGGGATGGGCACATATATTGGAAGCTGTGAAACCAACAGAAAAGTGATGTTTAACATCAGAACAGTACTTGCATCTAGGTTGTAGATTACAAGTATGTAAAATTTCTGAATTTGAATTATTAATCATTACATATATTTGCCATAATATATAAAAAGTTAAGAACCATTAAGGATGACTAAACTTTTTCAGTAAGTTTTTACAACTATTCCATTTCCCCACTATTTAATTCCAGAAAAAATGGACCCTGTAACAACCACTTCATTCAAAGTGTGTACTAAATGCCTATCAAGTGCAAAACACTAGACTAGAAGGCTACTAAGCAACTTACTGAATATAAAATGGGAACATGTGGCTGATAATGTTAACCTCTTCAGTGATAAAAGGCAATTTATAAGATTAATTATGTGTAATAACAAAAATAATGCATGTGATGAAATTAGCCACCTCAGCACTTAGAACAAATGAAATTTATAGCAAGTTCTTAAAAAGAATATAGTGAGTCACATTTTGGCATTAGAAAATTGACACTCTGCTCTTTAGAACACCTAAGGAAAAAAATATTCTAATTTCTTACTAAAAGTAATGATGGATAGTAGGCAGTTCCACATTATACAGAAAAATTGATATGAATAACTTTGAAATGAACACTTACAAATCCAAATTTTCATGTGGTAGTAGGGCTACAAGAGACTTTTAGTTCATTCATTCATTCATTCATTCAACATATGTTTATTAAAAGATTTTGGCCATGCAGGCTAGGCCTTATAAATTGGGAAGCAAAAGTGAGAAACAGCATCAGTAATGGTATCAATGAGATTAAGAAGACACACAAAAAGAAGAAGATACGCAATATTTTGATAAATGTTCTCTGGTACACTATTCAGGAAGTGAACATATTTTCAAGCATTTAGAAACAGAACAGCAGGGCTCATGAGAGGTGAAACTGTAGCATTTACTGCTGAGACTCTAGTATTTTTATTCTTGTCTATTAAATGCATTTAGGTACCCAGTTTACCATTTAGTTGAATAATTAGCTTGCATTTTTAAAAGTTGAAATACAGACTCCATTTTTAAATGAGATTTTATACTATATCTGGTAAAACCAAAGTAAAATATCTATATTTTTCATGGATAAGTCAACAATCAATTTCTCCTATGTGCTTTCTTGGAGATTAGAAACTAAGAGTTTTATGTCCCTCTCCCTAATGTGAATTCTAACATGAATTCACCTGTGCAGTAACACCACTGCATTCCAGTGAGAATTCCTTCATGAGGCCGAAAACTCCATTTTCTGATAGATATTGGCTCTGTATTAATATCTACTGTGGGTACATAGGACATAATGACACTTTAAAAAGAAATGACATCAGGGCCTCCCCGGTGGCGCAGCGGTTGAGCGCTGGGTTGCGAAGCTGCCGGCAGCCTCTGGGACGCCGGTTCGATCCCCGGCTGCTCCCCGGCCACCGGAGGAGGGTCCCACATGGCGCGCAGACCTCTCCTGCCGCCCGCTGCTCCCCTCAGCAGTGTACTTTGGTCCTTCTGCCTGCTCTGCTCCCTGCTCTGGCTCTGGTGAATTCTCTCACCCTCCCGCGCTTCTGACTGTACCCAGTGCTTGTATAAACAAACAAACAAATAAATAAATAAAACATGCCTCTATTAAAAAAAAAAAAAAAAAAAAAAAAAAAGAAATGATATCAAATGTAATAACAGCTGAAGACACTTCTTGGGTTGCTAATTTAATTAAAATATTAAAATCTCTACCAACAATAAAAACTCAAGGGAGGCACATCTCAAATGCCCAAGAAATCAGATGAGTAATTCTGAAGAAGTAACTCCTTTCTCTAGGTAATGAGTCAGTCCAACTTTTTTACAAGAAAAAAAAAAAAAAGATTAAAATAAAAATGAATCCGTGAAATTGTCTCTTTCACTAATTTTCCAAAACAAGGTAAAAAAAACTCTGCCCTTAAAAATGTTTACAATAAAATAATTATAATTCTGAAGCTTCTCAAGGATTTCTTCTGGTACCAAGGGTCACTGTCCTTGTTTTTCCTTTGTTACAAAGGCAATTGTGCAGCAGTGTATAACAACAACAAAAATCTCAATTTCAAGGTGCTAAAATAGTAAAAAATGATAAAAATATCTGGTAGTAAAAATCTTTAGCCCATGGGCATCACACACCTGTCAGTAACCCCACTTAAAAGCACAGTGTAGAAAAAAAAGTCAAGGGGAAAAACATTACAGAGCTAGATTTCCCTTAAGATTTGTGCAGAAGAGTCAGACTGATCAAACAAATTTGAGGAAGTGTAATTTTTTTTTTCAGTTTGCAAGTCTATTTAAAATATATGCCCATTATTTATTTACCAGTAATTGAAAAACTAACTTCTGAATTCCTCTTTCTCTTTTTACTGTTCACTTTTGGATTGCTCTGTGGGTTGTTAGCGCTTATGCTAGAAGATTGTAAGGAAAGAATAAAGCCAAAATAAATAAATCAATATAGTATCATTACCAACTGTGAGAAGTAAAGAGAGGTTTCAACCATAATTTGATTATTCATTATACTGGATCTTCATTTTCCTACTTTCATGTCACTTAAGTAATTTTAGTTCTTTTTGTTTGTGTTAGGCTCCATGGAAAACAAAAAAACATGTCTTTAAAATCAGATATTTCTTTATGATATTCTAGTGTCCTGATTTATATATTCCTATGGAATTAGCTTTAAAAATTATACTGTGGGTAGTAGAACTGCAGTACTTGGTAATATGCATTAAAATACCCCTATTGATAGTTAGATTGCCTAAATGAGACCTGAAGCCACACCACTTTTCCCTTTAATTTTTTTTCTCCCTAAAAGCCACTGGGTACAAATACCACTGAACTCTGAGAAACTTCCATCAATCCCACCATGACTCCTAACATACTACATTTGGAGAAGGTTAGCCATGTCAAACAACTTATTTTGTGGATATGACAACAGACTATCAGTTACTCTGTTTTTAATTTAATATAGGGGCAGGCACCTTTTATCAAATCCAAAGTTCATACAAGAGACTAATCCCTGTTGTTCTGTGGATGGGCACTATGAAGCCTGTAGGATTCAGAGGGGTTGCTGAGTACCTGGCCCATATCTGTGCAGAGGCCTAGTAGGGAAGCAGCTTTCATGACCCACAAAGAGGAAGACTGTGTTGGCTGATATGCACAGAGTAGTCCTGGGTGAGTTCACAAATGTGAGCATGAGGTCATTCTGGCATGGCAATAGTAATATCTCACTGGCAGCTAGAGAGATCATGAATATACGATGTGGGAAAGAGGGCGTGGCAAATGATAAGAACACCAGCCCCAGAGGGGGGAAATTCACTTGGTATAATATCTACTTCACATTCAAAACCTGCTTATGGTGCTCTAATTCCTAGAGGTTGCCCATTATTTTTCTCCTCATTTCAGCATGAACAGATCTGGTAAAGGTACAAGTATGACAAGAGTTGGTGGTAAGTAGTAATATGCTATAAATTTCTTCTTTTGTCAGATACCAGGCATACAGATATTTATTATTTAATAACTTCCTGATGATTTACTTAGGCTCAGAAGCAATTTTTTTTTTTTTGGATGCTGAACAATCATTAGCAAATACATAGTGGACATTTTAAGATCTCCATTATGTACTACAGCATTCATTTAAAATGAAAAATTGTCCACCAAAGAGGTTACAAGAAACTTCTATCCAGAGAAACTTAAAGGCAGGTTTATTTATAAGCAGTCTAAATTAAATTGCTTGCTTTTATACAGCAGTAAGCACAGCAATATGTAGGTGCTTTAACTTCCATTTTCCTTCTATTTGGATTTTTAAAGATTTTAATGCAATATCAATTCCAAAGATAACTGAAGCTTTTGAAAGATTTGAGAAATAAAAGTGGAAATCGGGTTTAAAAAATAGGACAAGAAAAATAATCATTTCTGGGTCGGCCTCGGATGATGTCATCATAGGTTCTAAATGTAATAGCTAGGCAGTATACACTAACTCTTCCTGCCCATGTGACCTCTAACATCAATTTGGGCAAAACAACTAATATTTCAATCATTTTTTGGCTGAGAAGTGAGGTTCTAAAGCAAAAGATTAAAGAGAGTTTAGAGTGTCAGGGATGAAACGATGTGAGTGTGTGTGAGTGTGTGAGCGCGCACGCGCACGCGTGGGGGGCCAAGGGGAGGAGGCATGAAAACTAACTCTTCCAGCACACACCCCTTTTGCTACTACAAGGGCATCCAGCAATCACATTTGCAATAGTAAAAATGCTGAAGGATCCTACAGTATCTTTTCTTCCACAACCATTCCTACCCTCTCCTACAAAGCCCTTCTTGCTTTATTGGTGCTAGGAAATTCTTCAGGGGTTAAATGGGGAAGTGCAGCCACTACCATTGTTGCAATAAATAAATGAATGAACCAGAACGAACCAGCAATCCATCCCTGGGAAGCAAGTATCTTATTTTCTACAATTACATGCATTAGCCAGCAACCATACATTTAAAAAAAATTCTATTTTATCTTTGAGCTATGTGTATACATTATAGACATACAGACATCTATACAAAAAGCACAGTACCCTGCATACACATACATCAATACCTTTACAATATTTTTAAGCATTATTATTTCAATGAAAAGACAAAAAGCTTTTAAAAATTGTATAGGTTAACAACTTCATCTCAAGGCCTTTTATTTTGCACATATAGCATATATAAACATACACACACACACACACACACACACACAAAGGTTTTTTTCCCATGCCGTAGACAATACTAAAATATCTGAGATCAGGTTGCTATGCCAACAGATTTTTTTCTAAAATGAATAAAATTATTAGGAGGGAGAAAACATTCTTGACTCCTTTCCTCCCATCCATGAAGCCGAGAGAGGCTCAGGGAGGGCGAGAGGCTGCCAGATGGGGAGGAGGGGAAGCAAGAGAAGGTGGGTAGAGGGGTGTTTGCTTACCAAAGATGCTGATTTGATCGTGGCAAAGCGCTCTCTGTTCCGGTAGTGGAGGGCCTGGCTCTGAACTGACTGGGTAGGCCGCGGCTCAGGCCTGGGATCGCCGTGGCCCGCCTCATCCCTTATGAATACATGATCCTGCAGAAATGGATAAAAACAAGGAGAAAGTCCAGCTGTGCTCTTTCCTCGCCGGCTGCCTCTCTCTCACCCCTCTTTCTGCACAAGCACTGCTGTTTGAAATGCATAGTTTAGCTCTCTGCTAGTCCCCGCAGCTCCCACGGTACAAAATGAATAAGCAACACATTGCAGCCTTCAGTTAGGAATGTCAGCTGATCGCTAGTGGGATGCCTTCTGAATCCCTGGCAGGCTTTTTCTTTACCTCCAGAATTACATATATGCAAAAGAAAAAAAGAATAGAAAAAACAATGCAATGTACAGACTCCTTAGAACAGTTTGCTTAAAACGCTGTAACCAAATAATTCCTTTAAAAATGTCATGTCCATGTCTAGCAAGGAGGATGCTGGTTGCTTTTAACATAAAAGCGAGCCTCCGCCTCATTCCCTTGAAAGATCTGCTTTCTCAATTTAATTTTATTTGAGATCTGTTCGGTAGAATCATCGTTCTGCCTAGAACCAGTGTAGGCTTGTGCTGAACTGCCTCTCTATCTTGTGCTGGGAAGATTCGGCAGTCACTGAGGGATCCTGCTTTCCAGTCATGATCGTACACAGTTCTAGCACCTTCTCTCTACAGCTTCTGAAAGGATTTTTTTTTAGATTTAAAGAGATAGGCATACAATTTTAACCAAATGATAGTTTCACAAATTCTTTCTCAACTCACTCTGGGTATGGTCACCAGAGTGTGTAAAGGCTGAATTTAATGTCCTTGACTGATTTAATCAAGTCTGTGTTTCTTGATAGGCAAAGATGATTAATCTTATTATAACACCCAGTGAAAAATAACATTCCCTGAAAGGATAATAATGGATGTTTCTTAAATGCAACTGAAATGACTTTTAAAGGGGAAAATGCTTTCAAAGGGCAATGCTTCTCTCTAAAAAGATGGAGTGGTCAGTCAGTAAGTAGCTCTAGCCCTTCAGGAAAACAGATACTATAATAATTAATAGTTCAAAAACATGTACAACCATGGGGGATTTTTAAATAGTACATGTTCAGGACAGGGAAAGAGAAATTAATTCTCTTATTGCCCTAGGGTTTTAGGAGAAACCATTTGAGAGAAGTCAGTTTTGTATTTTGTCCATGACCATTTGAAATTTTTGATAATTGCTCTTTCTTACATCAGAAAACAAAATTAAAGAGGATTAGTAGGTATAAAATTTTATCAGATAGTCTGAAATTTTGAAAAATCCAAACATACATATTTCTCAAGGAAAATTAGATCTTATATCCAGGAAAAAAGCCAAGACCCAAAATTAAATTTATCATTGGGCTAATTTTCCTTTTATAAATTTAGAATGCTTCTGACTGTTGGGAAGGTATCTACTATTATTGTACATCTATAGACATTTTTTTCAGTTTACTGCATAGTGGTCTATTTTTGTTTTTAAAAAATGAAGGGACACTTAGTGCCTCTGAGAACATAGGTCATATAATGTTTACTGCTGTGCTGCCCATTAATAAGGTAGCCACAAATCTCTTAGATATTTAATTTAAATAAAATGTAAACTTCAGTTTTTGTGTCATACCAACAGTTTCAAGCTAGCCACTAACTAGGACTACCATATTGAGCTATCCAGATAGAGATCGTTTCCATCATTGCAGAGTTCTATAGACAGTGTTGTATCTCAACCCATATTTTTGAAACTTAGAAAGTATTTGATAGAGCAATTAAGTTTCTGCATCGTTTCTTGGGAAATCTGGACTCTTACTTCATAGTGGAAAGGGAAATTGGGTGTGGGAATGTGATTCATACAGTAGGTTTAAGGTTCTAAAGAGAAATGGACTGGGATCTACTATCATGTATATTGCTGGATATTCATTAACAAATTACATTTACCTCCAAAACTGACCCTACTTACTTCAGTCCAAGAGAGAAAATTTTTAAATGCCAGCAATCAAAAGGAAAGACTATCTAGAGGTATGTGTATTTACAGGAGGACTTAACAAGTCACAGTTTGGGTGTGTTACTTAGCTAATATTAAAGGCACTGACTTAAGAGGCAGATCTAAGATGATGTGGTAGGAGCTAAGCTTCAAATTGTAATTTGATTTACAAAGATAACCAGTGACTTTTCATACTGTTCACCTAATAGAATAAAACAAATCATACCAAAATATGTCTATTTTAATTTTATTAATTTGTTTTTCTCATTAAAATTTGAACTTTTAGGTTAGGACCTTGCTTATCAAGAAGTTTAAAATAACATTATATTTGCTAAGCTTTTAAACTCAAGGATATTGGAATATACTGGCAAAGTTAAAATTCAAGATCATAGTGATTTTTAGTTGGCATGTAGTTAAATAACCCACTAAGGTGTATTTTAAAGATGATGCTATTTTAGAAGTTTGACGGAAAAAAAAAGTTAGTTTGAAAAATAGGTCCCAAATTTTAATCACTTTAAATATAATTGTGTTTCACCCTATTTTTTTTCCTTTTATAAAAGAACTGTTTCCCATTTGAGCTTCATCACAGAGATCACCAATACTAAGAGTCTTCAAGTATTCTTCAAAAGATCACAAAGTGGGGCAAAATTTTAATCTAACAGTGGCTATCCATTTCAAGTAAAGGGAAACAAATTTTAAAATATTTAATTCCATTGCATCAAACAAATTCAAAACCCTGAAGACAACTTAAATGAAGCAATTTTAAAATGAGGGGAATGGATTTGAGAAGTAAATATAAACAAACTACCAACTTTCCTAGGTATCTTTTATGTTGCTTGTATTATCTTTTAAGTAGCTGTCCCTTTGAAAATGACCATTATATCTGGCTCCCAGAGTTTCTAAACTGAACGCATTTTAAGATTAATAATGGAAAGGGTCAATTTGCTAGTTTATGCAGTTAGGTACTGATACATCTTATTTCTGAAGCATAATGAAAGGGCCAACATCTTTGATGTTGAATGATCATTTTGGATGATTAAGAACAAATATCGTATGCTACTTTATCAAGATACAATATATATGACTTGGTTTATAATTTATCTTTAAGATACTATCATTCAAACGAAACAGCTCTTTGAAATATCAATATGATTGGTGATCAGTTTTAAACAAACCTATGTTAGCTCAGCAAATGTACAGTGTGCTTTCATAATAAAAAATAAAACTTCAGATTTAAAAAAAAGCTGTTATAAAATTTGATCAAAAGCTTTAGTAAAAAGAATAGAACTTTTACATAATGTAGTGAAATACATGCAGCTATCAAACCCTAGGTAAGAGGCTTTATTTTTATTTAGAAAAGTTTTTATCTAAGTGTCTGAAAAATTCATGGTGCAGTCACTTGTTTAGAGTTTCGAGATTAGCTTGAAAGAACTCTTAACAGAGTCTTTTGGACTCTGTACAATTTTGAGTATACCTTTATCACATCATATTTACTTCTCTGTGCATGAGAGGGTGAACTTCTTGAAAACAGGTCAAAATGTGGTTTGAAAAAAATCTCAATCTCTCTAGCACCTAGCATAGTACTTTATACTTGGTAGGCACTCAGTAGATGTTTCCTAAATAAATAAGCTCAAGAACATAGGTTGGAGGACCTTTTGAGAAAATGACATTTTCTGTCATATTATTTAACAGAATTCAAATTTGTATTTCATTAAAAATCTGCCACCCTGTACTCTAAGAAAGTTGTAAAATAGTAACACACACAAACACATACATACAAGTATACATTTTGTGGTTGGGGGGGTGGGAATAAAAAATGACTTTAATGGTAATGATAAACATCTTTTTAGAGACACCCACACTTTTCACAGGATCAGCAAACCTACCATTTCTCTTTTGCTTTGTTCACTTCAAAATTATTAAATCATTGCCTAAGCAAGTGCAGCTATAAAATGCTGGGGTTAGAAAAGGGAAGAAGATGGAAAAGGATATCTTAACCTGGAAGGACAGGGAGAAAAAAAATTACTAGTAGGATGTTAAGGATAAAGATGTTACTATAAAGAAGTGGTTGTGTCACTGCTGTTTAAGAAACATTACCTTCACATGTTAATTTACTTTTACTTTGCCAAGTGTGGGTTGAAGAGTCAACGAACCCCCTCTCTTCAGCAAAAATAATAGAAAAGGCCACTGAAGCAAGTGAAAATTAAACTAGAACATCCATTCCCCTTCACAGACATTTCTTCTCCCTCACCCCCACGAAAATGGTGAAAGCTGTTCTTTAAGAGCAAAAAAAAAAAAAAAAAAAAGATAGAATGATCTTTTAAAAAATAATCTCCAAAAGGGGGTCATGATGACTACAGTTCACTAGTGTCATACCTTAATACCTTAAAATAACAAAATTTTAACCAAAAACTTTTACTATATTAAAATATTATGGTCTTTGTTAATAAAAGGCAGCATTAGGCAAAGATAATTCATCTTAGATTGTAATAAAACAAAGATATAATATTTAATTGACAAATATAAAAAAAGACTTCCACTGCTTAGGATGGTAGTAAAGTCTGTTTGCTACTATTGCACCATGCTTTAAGGCGTCCATAGTAGGTATAGGCTCAGAAGCAGGCTAGGTGAGAGTAATAACAAAAATTAGTTTGATTTAAAGTTTGCCCTGGAGTCACTCGTGAATAATCAAGAATTGAGGTACAGAATTGTGTCCTATAAAAAGTTTATCTTTGTTGAACACAATATTTGCTGAGTGCTTCCTATGTGGCAGACACTGTCCTAGGTGGATAGTAAAGATCCTTGAGGTGCTACCAGCCTAAAGATACAGATTATTTTGTCAGAAAAAATTTTTATGTCATTCTTGCTCAAAAGTAAGATTATGTTAGGATCCCGTCAGGGCCTGGGAAAGACCAGAGTAGAGGCAAAGACTAGAGAGAAAGAAGTAACCTGAAATTTTGATATCAAAGGAAAATTCTCATTGTCCCACTTCACATTTTGGGGCTTGATCTGTGAATTGTCATACTAAAATCAGGGCATCTTTATTCTGAATGCGGAGCAGTTAATTCTAAGTCACGTT